TGCTGCTGCTGCTGCTGCTGCTGCTGCTGCTGCTGTTGCTGCTGAGGGTTGCCGCGATCCGGCTGGTTTGTTGTCATGAAAGGCCTATTGCTTTGATAGTCCACATTGTGGTGTCCAACTTGAGGATAGTCGCTCGCCAGACTGTCGGCAGCGCATGGGACCTGCCCGAGCCCTCTGCTCTGGCTGGTCGCCGGACTGTGGGGAGAGATAATAATGATGGGTGTTGGTGGTTGATGGTGTTGATGATGACGACGTTTGACAGAAGACGGCTTTTTTTTTTCCTTTCCTGTTTCTGACTCGTCCTGTTTTTTTCCTCTCCCACAAGACAGGGAAAAAAGAAGAAATCTGCGACGCGGAGTACTGGGTCAAATGGTCTTTCAACCACTCCTTGTTCGATCCCAGGCGCCTATATGTGAGTTGCGCTATAACCCTCCTAGCAATCACAACCTTGGTTATGTTGACGTGCTGACTGTCGTCTGAAAACACGCGCGTTTCGCGACAGAGTTTGCCCGAGGAGAGGAAGGGGGTACGTCTTTTCCGTGTCTGGACAAGAGGAGGCTATCACCGAATTGCCTTCAAGTAGGTCAACGGTTTTCAGCGTCCGATGTCGTTCCCCTCTGGTGTGAATGCAACGGCGATGATGATGAGCGACCACAGGAGTGCGGTGACCTTCCACTATCGCAACGCGAGACAGTCCGGACGCGAGAACAAGACTTTTGCTACTATCCGCAGTATCGTCTCCAGGTTTTCTGGTTGTCTTGAGAGGTTGGTGTGACGGTCGGCAGTTGATATATACGACAACTTGGTAGTGGCGTATTTCGAGGCGAAAGCTGTGCGGTGGCTTGTAACGAGGCGGGGGGAGGACGATGAACGAGAGAGAAGGTGAGAAAAGAGGAAGGAGGTTATGATATAACTCTGCCGGATCGTGACGGAATGGTAAAATGCAAAATGATGAAATAAATCAGAATAAAAAAAGAGCGAAAGAATAAAGGAACGACTCTGTGAGCTAAATCGGGAGCTCTGGGTGTTTGTGCAGGCTATCCGGGGGTTTTTAAGAAAACTCCACCAACAAGCCGCGGGTCCCCCGACGAACAGAAAGAAGGGTGTTGTGGGCTCCTGAACTGGCCCGGCATGGACAGCTCCCGTCACTCTCCTCGCACCCTGGTGTACGAGTATGTGTGTCCCTGGCGTGTGTCCTTGATCCTTGGCCGTTGGAATCCTCTCGGTAGGACCCCCCCCCCCCCCCCAGAGGCTGCCAATATGAGAAACGTTATGCTGGTCCCTCCAGGGATGCATGACAATTGCAGGGTTCCCAGTTTTAGCAACGCCCATGCCGTCTTGCTTTTGCCCGCCCCCTCCTCTCTCTCTCCCCACCCCCCCTAGACAGGGCTCCATGAGGGCGATGATGCAACTTCGGGCCTGGGGAAATCGACCTGGTCCGGGAATGGGTCAATCTTGCCAGCATCGTCGCTGTCTTCCCTGTCCGCCCCAAGCGGGAGGAGCCCTTTTCTCCTCTCACACCACATATTACCTGTCAGCCCGGGTTTTTTTTTTTTTTCCTTTTTCCGAAATGGGACAAGAGACGAGAGCAAGATACGATGAGAAGGGGAAGAAACGGTCTCGTTCCCGGCGCTGCACGGTGGCTTGCAAGGCAGCGACAACGAACGGCCAAAGGTGGGATCTGCTGTTTCCAAGTACGAGTCCTGTATGCACGCAGGCCCCGGTGTGGCCGGTGGGCAGGATGTCATGACGAAGCATTACACACGATGGAGTACCCGTAGTACTACTACGATGGAGTAATACTGGTGCTCGTACCCACCACTACTGTTAGTAGCAATACTACCCTTGCAGTCAACGTGACATGGTTGCCCGAGTAGACGACTGCTTGCCAGTGTGGATGGCGAGGGAGAGTCTAGAGAGCACCGAGCACTGAGCAGGGACAGCAAAGGAAATCAGGGACCATCCCATTGGGAATTGAGCGTCTCCGTACGTCGTCGTACAGCCGTACTCTGTAATACGGGCTCACATGCAGGGGCGTACGCGTTTGAGGGTGTGATGGCAGAGCACTACCGCGCGTAGAAATGATGAACTGGTTGATCCCTAGAGTTGGGAATGATTGAGACAGATCTCCGGAGCGAGGAAAAGGGTGTGAGGGGCCCTGGAGGGGCGTGGATGAAAGCCTGGGGGGCGTGGCAGGGTACGGACAGGGTGTACGTCGTATGTTGTCTATGCCCAAACTGTATCCGTACGAGTACGTGTACGAGTATCTATCTGGGTAGTACGGAGTATTATACTGTTAGCAGTAACCCATAGATGTATACCAATACCCGTTACTCGGTATTGCTAGCACGTCAGGGTGTTAGTATAATAATAGTATGCAACGAGTATGAATGATTTCCCTCTCTCGAATAATAGCATGCCAACAATATCCGGTAGAGCCATGTCAAAGCTGCAAAAGGAGAGACGCGCGCGCGCGCACACGCGCACAGAGAGAGAGAGAGAGAGAGAGAGAGATGATGAGATAAAGAGAAGGACGAATAGCTCGGTATCTCCGTCCCAAATAAGCGGTAGGCCGAGCGGTCAGCTTTTTTTAGGAGACGGAAGCGCACCGCAATCTGCGCGGGCCATTGTGGGATATGGAGGATGTAAGCATGGGTGTGCAGAAGCAATGCGTGGATGATGCGTGCGTCAGTTCTGCACTCCAGTCTCCACGTCGCAGAGAGCTCAGAGCTCGGAGCGCGCCCTGGTCGTTTCTTTTTTGGATGAGAGGGGTGATATGCTCGTACAGTCAGTCCTGTACACCAGATACCGAATATGCAGTTCTGCTCCGTCACCCGTAAAGCGAATGAGACCATTCGCGGAGACCAGGCCGAGTGTCAAGGTCGAGCCTCAAACAAAAACAAGGGACCGCCGGTGACGAGTAGAGTTGTGGATGAGGGCAAAAAGGCTCCACCACGACTCCGTACTCGGTAGACGGAGACGAGACGTTTACGGGCGTAGCCAAGACTCGGGACTGGCCACGGTGGGTTTGCATGCAGGCTGGCTGAAGCTCTGTGCTCCGTACCTAACGTACGTGATAATACCCGCAGCTGCTTCTACTGTTGAAGATTCTTGCTCCGTAGGAATGTGGTGGCTTGCTTGCTTGCATTGTTAGCCTGATGGCATTGAGCGGAGCCACTATGTCGAGCCAGTGCGGTACGGGTGCGGAGTGTCCGCGGACTGTAATGAAATGTTCTGAGTACCAAGCCGATTTGCATCATTGCAGGCAACGCGGCAAAAAGGTGAGAGGGAGGGAGAAGACGGCACGATGCGACGGCGGCGATTGGCAGACTGGAAGAGGACGAATTCCCACATGACGGTGACCAGCCAGCGTTAAGTCTCCCTTCAAGCTTTTTTTCTTTTTTTTTTCCCTTCTTTGATTTTTTCGTGCATGTCGTCCAAAAGAGCCAAGACAGACGAGAAAAGATAAAAACAGAAGCGTCAGTCGCATTAACGGCAAGCACATATATTATTACCTGTAATATTCCGTAGACGGTGTGTTGGGTCATTGAGATTAGCGCCGGCCAACATCGTCATGCATCCAGGGGGCGTCTCCGCAAGACAAGAGTCGGCTGTCTGGCACGGCGACACCAGTCCTCGAACCAGGACTTTTTTCGGCAAGGGCCGTCGCTAAGAAGCTTCGACTTCTGTCCCCAACCGACGTAAGCCTGTGCGTGCGTGTCTGCTGTACCTCTGTACCGTGATCGTTCGTTAGTCGCTTGGTGGGGGGGAGACAGGGGTGTGTTTTCATGTGGTTGCCATTGGTGCAGGGAAGAAGAAATGTGCCGAAGAGGGTGAGAGGCGACTCGTGAGAGGAGAGACGACTCGTGAGAGAGAGAGAATGTGTGTGTGTGTGTGTGTGTGTGTGTGTGAAAGAGAGGGGGGGGGGRGGGCAAGAGATTTCGATTTGGCCTCGTCATCAAGAGGATCTCTCCATGATTGTTGTCGGTATCCAGAGGAAAGATAAATAGAGGGGAATGAGAACATAAATGCACAAGTACGGAGTACTGCATACACCACCAGTGCATAGGCTTGGAGTGATGGTACTTGTGATGGTAGCGGTGGTATTACTTGGCAGAAACAGAAAAAAGAAAAGAAGCAGGAAATAGTAATACCCATATGATATCCCCGTGTGTCTCACTCCTGCCCTATGCCCTACGATGTGTATCCGTAATTGCTGGCATATACCTTTTGGTATTAATTCGGCAGTAGCGAACTAACAGCAACTGCCTAGAGTCGTCGAGGCACATGCTCCGATATTGGCACTATTAATACTCATTGTTACTACGATGACGACGTAATTGATCGTTGCGTCGTAAAAGCAAGAGCCGACACACACACACGCACACACACATTCTCTCTCTCTCACGAGTCGCCTCTCACCCTCTTCGGCAGAGCACCTTCCCAATCCGTTTGCGCTTCTGCAGCTGCTGTTGTCTTCCTTTTTTTTTTCTTTTCTCCCAAGACACACCGCATGCGCACTTTGACGGACAGCCTCGTTCTGGTTGTTCTCTTCTCTTATTGTCTCATACGATCCAGAGGATGGAGAAGGGAGAGAAGGGAGAGAAGGAAGAGAAAAGAAAAAGAAAAGAAGAAGAAAAAAAAAAGATATTGATAAAACACGAACATTAACACTATGTCTTATTACCTTTTTTTAGTTCTCTCGGTCCACTCAAGTGTGTCGGCACCACGAGTACGGAGTAGCTGCAGATGTATTATATAACACTCGGTAGTATAATCTGATACTAGCACTAGCCTCTAGGTGGGTAATAGTATTACTGCCACCACTCCCCGGCTGCTGCTATACTCGTACATGTATGCACTACTATTACCTGTAGGGTGCCACTGCTATTATTGATGCTATTGCTGTGACTGTACAGATTAATCTGCCGTGATCTATCGTACTAGCGGCTCTGAGTCTGCTGATGCTGAGTCTGCAGCGCCTACAATGTCTACACAACCTCTTTTCTTTCCTCTCCCTGTAGCGTTGGTGCCACTTTCGGTCAGAGGCCATGTATAATCCCTGCTGCAGTTGATAATGTAGGTCTATGTATGGAGTATCAGCACGGGGACATGTACGGGTACAGATAATGTGCACGAGTCACGAGCAGTCTACATGCAAAGAGGCTCGTAAAGAGACTGGTCGTGGAGATTGGCCACGCCTAGACGTGATACAGCCATCTGCCGCCTCTGATCCGTGATCCGGGTCTTTTCTCCGGCCGTTCGCTCGCACTTTCATCCTTGTCTCTTGGCCCCCCCGCAGGTGCTCGAAGAAAAGAAAGCCATGATTTGTGTTGATACTCTGTAATTCGATTGACTGCCATCTGTCTGTTGGTTCTGTATACCGCCACTCCTCTCTCTCTCTCTCTCTCTCTCTCTCTCCCTCCTCTTGGCGATGATATTCCCGGAACTCATCCCATCTTTTCTCTTCATACTATCAAAGATACATGTCTTTTCTCCACGACGCCCATACACAATCTCTGTAATTATCAGCGATCCAGGTGCTAGGAATAGGACGAGTTATGCCTGTCCCTAACTCAAAGAAACGCTCACATTGACATTGACATTATAGCCTATTTTTGCCATCAGCCACCCCCGGTCCGTGCCCTCTAGATTAGGTACAGTAGTAGTAGTTGATAGTAATATATGAGTTAGCAGTAGTGGTGGTAGTTGATAGTATTATTAGTTAGTAGTAGTAGTAGTAGTAGCAGCAGCAATACTGCCTGCATCGGGGAGGGGAGGGGAGGGGGAGAGGGGGGGGCATAAGACGTCACAGCGCGTCAAAGGTGTAAAGAAAAGAGAAGTCTGCTCCGATGAGAATGGGCTGCGAGTCTTTTTTTTTTTCTTCTTATTTGCCTATGTCTATCTATCCCTCTCTCCATCCCTCTTTCTCGTATTCCAATAAAGCAAGATAAAGGCAATGAGAGGAAGAGAAAAGAAAATAATAGTGCCGCCACGTCAAGAAAACAGGGATGATGTACGGTAACGTTGGTGGCGGTGGTGGGTGGTGGGCTTCGCCACAATGGGGGACAGACTACAGGCTACAGACGCTCCAGAGACAATAAGAGGAGTAATAATGCTCTAGGAATAAGGTAATAGTCTGGTTAATACGTGTGTTAATGCCCATTAACAGCAATCTGCTATTACGGTATACGTACTCTGTACTCTTCTCTGGGTCCTAGTAGGAGTACGGAGTGGACTCGTAGCTGCACGCAGGCTATGCCGCTGCTACTACTAGTACAGTACTGATACTAGTACAGCCAGTACAGCTAGTACGGCCAGTACGGCCAGTACGGCCAGTACCTCTAGGCTCTACGTGTACGTATAGTGCCTGTAATCTGTAGATGCAGACCGATACAAGTACTATCACGCCGAGGGGCCCCAATTCCCAAGCCAATGCATAGATGCATAAACCGCCAATTTCGGCCACATTATACACTTACAGGGCTTCCCGAGAATCATTCACCTCTCTCCGAGCCTTGCCCTCCATAGGAATTCCTTCTAGCCGATTTCCAGAATCGTCATTACCCCCCCTCCCTCTAACCCCCCGTCATGCATCTCTCAGTTCGACCGAATACTAGGGATTGCTCTCTGGTGCTAGTAGTACGGAGTGGTAAACCACTAATATTACGGAGTACTGCTGTACTCGTAATACTGCATCTACAGGTACTGCTCTACTCTACATGTACCCTGTACCTGTAATATTCTTATATATGCACACCCCCGACAACCCAACCCCTGGATGCCCCACTCATGCTGTTCCGATATGTCGGCTCTCTCTCTCTCCCTCTCTCTCTCCTCTTTTTCTCTCTCTCCCTCTTTCTCTTAATCACTGATACTCTATAGATGCTCCATATACGGAGTAGTACTGTAGTCTACTGCACGTACTGAGATGCCGATACCTGACCAGGCAAGGACCTCAGAAAGCGAAGGGGGGCAAAAAAAAAAATCATACACCTATAATGCGCATGGTAAGGTGCAATCTCGGCTCACCCCAGCCTGTTCTCATTCTTCTACTTGCCAATATTGCCAATTAACACCCTTCCCTTCCGTCACTGTCGAGTCGGTCAAAGCCGCAGAGCACATGCATACGCACACGCGCGCGCTCTCTCACCCGTTTGTCCCGTGTGCGCGTGCGCACGCGTCCAGTGTATACGTAGCCGTAGATATACGGATAGGTTACGTGTTGGCTCTGCCACCTCCTTATGCTCCTCTCATCGTGATATTATTATTAGAAATCAAACTCATCCTTCTTCCTCTTCCGAGTCGTCTCTCGGTTCTCGCCAACACCCGGATGCGGGACGCGTTCCTGTCGTGTATTATTACTCACGTCGGATATCATGGCAGGTGGGAGATGCCGTCAACTACACAGGCAGGTACACACTTTTAATCGCATGATACTACCATACAATGTGCTACCAACATCTTTTCTAATTCATGGGCTTTTTCTTATGCGTGAGGGTTCAATAAACAGATAGATCTCTTAAAACGAAAGAGTTGAGAACAAAACGCCAGTTATTACAACAATCCCTCAAGTCCACACACATATCTCACAGCCCCCCCCCCCCCCATCTCCTCTCCAGTCGACAAGACAGGCGAAAGATAAAAATAAAACGAAACAGACGAAACTGTACATGTCAAATTACAATCATCATCCCCCCCCCCTTTTTGTTTTTGTTCCATGTTCTTTTCTCAGAGTGACAGACTCCCTCCCTCCTTGGATATCATCTCTCTCATCTCCCGACATAGTTCTAGGCAAAGTTATCAACCATGTCAACACCAATGTCCTCCAGCTCCGCAAAGCTCTGGAAGTGAACCGGCCTGTGCTGGTCGCTGTAGAAGGACATGGGCGTGTCGAGCTTGACGTGGATCGGCTTCTTCTCCATGCCCGCAAACGCGCTGCCCATGAAGCTGTAGTTCCACCTGTCGTCGTCGGGGACCAGGAAGAAGCCCTTGAAGCGTGGGCTGAGCAGCAGCTTTCTCTTCTCTCCCATGGTCGTCGTGAAGCCCTGTGGCTGGTCGCTCTGCATATCCTTGTTCTCGGCTCCCCATTTGTATCCCTGTGCCGTGAGACCCCAGGCCGAGAGGGAGACGCTGCCTGGCGTGAAGGCCACAGACACCGTCACCGTGCTGGCGCTGTCCCACTCGTCCTTGTGCGCGTCCAGGAGGCGCGCGTGCTCCGTCACGTCCGGTGCCGACATGTACGGGAGCTCGTTGCCCGACACCGTATGGATCACCCCCAGCGGCTCCATGCCCTCGAGGAACTCGCTCTGCGGCAGCTGCTGCGGGAGCTGGACGTTGCGGAGACCGCCCACCTGCGGGATCATGACGATGCACTTCACCTCCTTCACGTCGCTGTTGTCCGCCGGCGACGAGCCGTACAGGTAGCCCGCAATCTGCACCCGCAGGTCGGCAATGGTGATGAAGCGCTTGAGGATGTTGTTGGGCATGACATACGTAATGTCCTCGGCCTCGATGTCCACCGACGACACGTAAATGTTCTTGGCCCGCGTCCTCAGGTTGGACGTGGCAATGGCGCGTGTACGCCACTCCGTCTTGGACGCAAACGTCTGCTGCTCAAACTGCGACGTCGTCGTCACGATGATGTCCTCGCCGTGCACGTTTTGCGTCTTGGTCGTCACCGCCGTGAGCTGCTGCTGCTCCGCCTGCTGCTTCTCAATCTCGGCCGCCTGCTGACGCTGCATCGAGGGTGCCGAGATCTCCATACCCAGGATGATGTCGCGCACCTCGCTGCTCGTCAGGCTTGTCACGTTGACGTTGTTCTTCTTGCCGTAGTCGTTGAGGATGAGGTCGCGCAGCTGCGTCTCCACCTTGATCCACTCCTCGTCAGACAGCGATGGCCAGATGTGGTGCTCGTGCGTGATGACCGTCTTGTCCGGGCGTAAGATCAGCTTCGTCTTGTCCGGATTCACGTGCAGAGCACGCAGGATCAGGATGAGACGCGAGAAGGCCGTGTACGACGACACGCTCTTCAGCCACTCGTCGTACAGGTTGAACAGCACCATCTGCGGCTCGGTAGCGCGCAGGATCATGTCTCCCAGCTTCTCCACCTTCATGGCCGCCTGGAAGGGCAGCTGCAGCTCCGACGCGCGGATCGAAATGTTGGGGAAGTCGAGCAGGTGCACCTCCAGCGGGTCCAGGAGACCCTTGCGCGTCACAATCAGCTGCTTCGGCTGCTCCTCCACCGGGAGAGAGCGGATCAGCGCCGCCACCTCTTCTGCCGTCTTCCACTTGGCCAGCTGGCCGAGACGCTTCTGTCCGGCCCAGACACTCGTGTGGATGATCTTGAGGAAGAGCTGTCCAGTGCGGGGGTTGAAGATGAAGATGGCTCCGTTGATGGGTTTGGTCGTCAGATTACCCTCAAACGTCTTGTGGATCGTCACTCGGTACACGTTGGTATCGTCGATGAACAGCTGCGTCTGGTTGCTGAACAGCTCCGAGTAATTTTGCGAGTTGAGGAACTCCTGGTTGCTCTCCGACGCGTACAGCTGCAGACCCTTGCGGATACGCTCGCGCAGCACGTACAGCGCCGGGTTGGCCTTCATCACCTTGGCCATGGCCTGCTGAATGAGCACCTTCAGACCAGGAAAGTACATACCATACGCCGAGTAGAGGTTGTACGCCAGGTCGATACCGATCATGAGGCCGGTGGCCGACGGGTAGATGCTGGCGCTGTCCGTCGTGTAGTCGAGGTACTTGGCGCGCGTGTACCGCTCAATGTCGTGCGAGTCGTAGTCTCCGTAACGCAGCTGAACGTCGATCCAGAACTTGTTGGTCGTCGTCGGCTCAATCACGTCCTTGGTGTCGTGCAGCAGGGAGGGCCTCGTCACATTCCACTTGTGACTGGCAAACAGTAGGATGTCGGCGCAAGAACTGTTCATCTTGTAAGACTTACGCGGGTGGATAGTCTCCTTCTGCACCGTCTCGATACCCAGCGACTCCAGCTCCTGGTCAAAGACCTGGCACAGATCCATCACCACAGACTCGTGGATCTTCTGCCACAAGTGAGCTCGGAAGATCTGGATCAGCGAAATCTTTAGCGTCGGAATCTTTCCGTGGAGGAAGATGCCCGTCAAGTCGAGTTGGACCTGGAAACCGACGTAGACGTTGGCTCGGTTGATGGTGGGGGACCACCACAGTGTGAAGCGACGGTTGGGGATCTGGTTCAGACCAGACCTCTGGGCGTTGGTCAGCTTCTTGAACTTCATAGACTCCTCGAAACCACTGTTGTGGAGAACAAGGTAGTCGTGGCGCATGTAGAGTTGATCCTCGTCCACGCGGAAACCAGCCCACTCAGTAGCCTCAGACTCGAGGGTGATCTCCTTGATAGCAAAGCTATACGGGCTAGCGGGGGCGACGTCAGGCGCGTCAAACTTAGACGACCTAAAAGCCTTGTAACTCGTCCTCTCAGTAGGCTTCATGGCGGCGAACTGAGCCGCCGTCATCTCGACAATGTCCTTCTCCTTGTGGAAGACGAGGATGTGGTTCGCCGTGACGACCAGGTCCTCAGGGTTGTTCTCCATTTGGATACGGTAGAGGTGGTCCTTTCCGCTGACAATATTGAACGCGCGTCGAGGTCCGCCGTCGGGGCCGAGAAGGAGATCGCCCTCCTTCACGTCCTCGACTGCGACCTGTGTGCGATCGAAGCGGAGCAGCATCGTGCCATGAGCAAGACAAGCCTTCTCCCAGAAGAGACCCTCCCAGGACGGGAAGCCCGTGGCCTTGAAGAGGGTATGTTCTAGAATCGTCTCGACACCACCCAGCGCCTGGATAACATCGGTACGGTAGGCATTGAGGTTCCACAGCTTTCCGTCGTGCCTCTGGCTGGTCCACCAGAAGGGGTTGCTCTTCATCAGCTGGTATATCTTGAACTCGGAACGGGCGCGGAAGCCCTTGTCAAAGCTGAGGGTGCTGCGGTCCTTCTGGAACAGCGTGTTGATACGGGGCAGACCGCGATCCCAGCTGTCTTCGAGGTCCTCAAGCGTCAGGCGGCGGTTCTGCTGGTTGGCCTCCAGGCGCTTCTGCGAGTACTCGGTCCACACGCGCTGCGAGTCGATGAACTCGGCCTCCCAGGGAATAATGTAACGGAAAATGTTGGGGATGAGCGTCTCCTCGTCGTGCGTCATACCCGCACGGTAGTGCGTGACGCCTGTGTCCGTCTGCTTGGACCAGCGCTTGTCACTAGCAGGGATGAGGATGTGAGAACCAGAGATCATACCGAGACCACCCAGCTCCTTGGGAGTGTAGAAGACAGCCGGTGGGAATCGCGAGGGCATCTTGGAGTTGAGACCGATCTTGACACGGGTCTGGATCTTGGTCTCGCACTTGACAATTGTGTCGAGAAGCTCCACAGTAGACACTGCGGCTTCACGGTAGTAAGTGAAGAGGGCAATGAGAGCCGTGTTCCACTTGTTAGCAATCTTGGTGAAGGTCGTGGAGCCAGATGACATGAGGATCTGTCTGATGCGGTTGTTGAACTTTTGGATGTCATCCTCAGTGACCTGGAGGAAGGCATGGGCGGTTCTCTCCTTGGTCGTGTTGTCGACGAGCGACCACACGCTGTCCTTGACCGAGAACTCATCGTTCTGGTTGCGAATCTTGGGTAGGATGCGCACCTCGAACCCGCACATAGAGAAAAGCAGGTTAGGGTTATCGCGGCTGTAGACACTGACAAAGCTGTCATCCCAGTCGATGGTGGTGATGGAGCGGGGCAGGCGGTTCTTGAGGTCCCAGAAGACAGCACGGCCGAGGTTCACATCGTGCCTCATAAGGCGCATACGCGAATCACGCGGCCAGCACTTCTTACTCTTGTAGCCAATGACGTTCTCAAAGTTGGGGTCTGGCTGCTCAGTCAGGAAACGCTGGATCAAGTCCCTCGACTCCTCGGCTGTGAAGCGGAGGAACACCCAGATCTTGTCAATGTAGCGCGTGTATAGGCGAATCGGGTGGCGAGTCTCAGTCTCGCGGTCGCGGAACTGAAGGAAGTCGTTGGGGCTCTGGGGCGGACCGGCAATCTCGCTCGCGCGCTGGGGGCCAAGCAGAAGCAGATCCAGGACAAGACCGTAGTACTGGAAAACAAAGGCTGAGAACTGCAGCCCGCGAATCATGCCATAGCTATTGACATGGTTCATATCCTTGTACGTGAGTTGAACGTTGTTCTTGGCCGTGATGTAGTCGGCAAGGTTGTGGTCCATAATCAGCCGAAGGAGCGAGTTCAAAAGGGTCAGCTCCATCTTCTCGTAGACCTTGGAAAGTTCCGTCTCGATCATGACGTTGCACTCGCCATTCTCCGTGGTCCAGACCTGGTCCAAATTGTTGATGCCTTGGGTCCACTTGTAGGTCAGCAGCGGGGGGACTTCGGAGTCGGATGGCTTGATCCACGCCGGGAACAGGTGTCGCTGGTCCGCCTGGTACCAGAGGTATTGGTCCAGATAGGCATCGCTAATCTTCTCAATGGGTTCAATGTCGTAAACAGGGTTGATGGTGCTGTAGTTGTCGTTCATGTCGATGTTGACCTCTTTGAAGGCACGCTGCGTCAGCAAAAAACGCTTGATGCGCTCGAGCGTAGTTCCGGGGCTGTCGTAGGCCTGCTCAATCAAGGCCAACTCCTCTCGCTGACTCTGGTTGAGACGACCTTTGACCGAGTAGGCCTCTCGAAGGCGCTCAAGGGCCAAGATCAGGATTTTGGTGTCGTGCTTGTAGGAAACGCTGGGGAAGGGGATGGGAGAGAACTTCCGCGACTCCAGCCAGTGAACGGTCGTGGTGTAGATGGCCACGGCCTCCTCCGAGGACACGTAGGGTCCGTCCTTCATGTGGTTGTGTTGGCGCTCCTGCTCGGCCTTGAGCCACAGTCGGGTCAGACGACCGACATTCTTCTTAGCGACGGTCTTATCCACGGTGGCACCACGGCGGATACGTTCTCGGTTGTAGTGGGCCACAGAGATCCACCAATCAGCCTTGGACTTGACATAACGGAGAATGATGTTCTCGATGGCGGCGGGCAGGCCAGGAACCTTCCAGGGGATATTACTCTTCCAGCAGCGCCAGGCCTCGGAGAGATGCTGCAGAACCGTGTTGACCTTGTTCTGCTTGATACCCTCGGGCATCATGTCCATCAGATCGGCCATGACAGAAGCACGGAGCTCGAGGTCGAAGTGGGACTCGACACGCTGCTTCGTGACCGTCTTCGCAACACCCTTGCTGTGACGGCCCTCGAATTGACGCGAGAGCAAGTTGCCGAGCCACCTCTCAAGCAAGGGAATGATTCCACGCATGAAGAAGAGCCAGACCCTCCAAGCCGGGGCCCAAAAACCGCAGCCGGGGCCCTTGCCGACTGGGCCTGCATTGAAGCGGTAGTAGATGAGATGCTTCAAGTCCTTGCAAGTACGGACCTGGTGCATGAGCTTGTACTTGTAGCGGTACATTCCCGTAAGCTGACCCACGTGATTAAAGGCGTACAGGATACCATCGGCGAGCTGGAAGGCATCGATGTTGCCGAGACGGTACTGCACCTGGGCGTCAACGATAAGCTTGGTCAACCTCAAGATTTCTCGCATGAGGTGGAACGCATTTCCGAATCGCGACTTCTTTCGCTCCTTCGTTGTGAGCGTCTTGACGGGCTTCAGATTGAAGTTGTAATCCAGGTGGAGGTACGTCAAGTTCTTGCGGTGTATCAGCAGGTTCAGCATGTTGAAACCTTGGCGGCACACCTGCAGACCAGCCTCAACCCAGTCGATGGTGGTCTGTTGGAAGAACTTGGTCTGTTTGAGGGACCTGAGCAGGTTCTGGTTGTTCTGGGCCTTGGGCTTCTTCTTGTGCAGCTCGTTGAGAACAAAGTTCTTGAGCAGCTTCTGGTAAGACACCCTGATCTTGACGGGCGGGCGGTCGGAAGGCGGATGCTCGAGGTACCACTGCTTAATTAGCGGCACGTCCTGAGCTCGCACCATGCGGCCCGATCGTCGGTCGAACGGGAAGGGAGCCCACCAAAGCTCGATGGCCATAGACGTATCCTCGTTCTCCAGCTCCTCATCGGCAAGGAAAGGCTTCACGCCGGCAGGGAGTTCGAAAGCATCCTCTTCGGGCTCCTCGATGTTCCCGGGTCCGAAGAGCTCGTCCTCAAGGGAGACATCGACATTCTTGGACGCCACAGTCCGAGAGGAAATGGGACTGATTCGGCGATCAAAGTGGAAAGCCGGCAGACTGGGGTCGTCGGGACTCTTGTAGACGACCTGAGGATACGAGTGCCAGGTGAGATGGACACTTCTAGGCAGGGAGTTGTAGAGATAAGGGTAGGCGACTCGGAACTCAGTGCGGATCGGGTCGCGGAAAATAATGCGGTCGATGGCATTGAATTCGCCGAGGTCTTCGTCATTGGGGTCAATGTCCTTGTAGAGGGGCTCGAAACGCGGGCCACCAGGTAGGGCCACGTTAAGCGCCTTGCCAGTCAGGAAGCTGGGGAGATCGAACAGGTAGAAGTAGTTCTTGTCGACGACGTCGGAAATCAAGGGTCGGCTGAGACGGAAGAGAGCGGCCATCTGGGGCAAGGTGAGGTTCCACTTCTTGTAGCTCGGACCATTAACGTGCGACGTGTCGAGAAGGGGACGGTGGTCGTAGAACCACTCATAAACGGCCTCGTCTTCGTCCTCGTTGAGCTCCAGCTGGATGGGCTCCAGGGGCTCGACATCCTCGATGTTCTCAGACCACGACAGAGGGGGTTCTTCGTCATCGAAGGGAGGGAACCGCATACGCTTGAAAAGTCGCCTGTCGGCCTTTTCCTTTCGCATGAAGGTCCACATCATGGCCCACTGGGCAAAGAAGACGGGCTCGATGACGCGGGGAATCTCATTAACAAGTGTCAGGCATCCATTGACGTGGTAGAGAACCTTGACCTCTCGCGCGGACTCCCAGGGCATGGGCATATTTTCGAGAAGCTTCATGACGGCATGAGGCATGAATTTGAGAGCGCCCAGATAAGATCTCTTGTCGTTTGTGTATTTCTTCTGGGACACGTCGCCAATGTCCTTGACGATCTTGCGCAGATGCTCAGGGGGCATATCTGCCTTTTGCGTCTGCACGAAGCCACCCTTGCGCTTCTCTCCAAATCGTCCGCGTCGGCTTCGGAGCCATTCCTTCTTCTTTTGCGCGAACTTGGCGATCTGGGGGTCGGCCGGAGGACGGTATCCCGGTGGCGGGGGGGCCGGGGGAGCAGGTGTCGAAGGGGGCGGCGGTAGAGAAGACGGTGGCGGAGGAGGAGGAGCGTCCCCCCAGCCAGGAGGCGGCGGAGGCGGTGGTTGCGACATTATAGCCTCACGTCGCGCTTTTCTTTCAAACTCGTCGTGGTGAAGAGGGTACCGCGAGCTCGACGGGCGTCACGCGCCGGTTGAGACGCGTTAGTCACCACGGTATTCAGGTCCGAAACGACAGAAAAAAGTCTGGTGCGAGACTTTGTGTACGTTCCAGGGTTGGTAAGAGATGACAGCGTCGCGGAATCACCAACTGCGACGATGGTGGTGATGGTGAGATTGATGATGCAGGAGGTGCTAATATCCTTTCCCCTACGTGACGGGGAGTACAATTTTCTGTTCTAGATTCAAGATGATGCAGGGATGAACCAGTCCATAATCGGTATAGCACATCACGTGATCTTTAAATTGCCACCCAGTCTCAACATCGAGTGCATCATGTTCACAGTTCAGACGGAGCTCTACGTTTTTTATAGGATGGGAGTGAAACAGGATATAGAGATGTTTCTATGGTCAGATATTCACTTTTTCCTCATTCGGGATACTTTTCAGGGTATACCGTTGTATGTTCTGGTACCCATAGCTGCGCATGTGTTGATACTGTAGCTTGGTTATCATACGATAATGTGCCATTCAGGCGCCGGTTCACTAAGAAACGTGGGCTTAAACGTCCTCTTGTAGACTCCTTGGGTTTTCCTGTTTAGCAAAGGGTATTTTATGTGATATCTAGCTAGGATTCAGATGTGTTTAAGTCAGTTGTTAATATATATATCTACACTGTTGTTAGTGAAGTTAAGTGCAGCTAAAAGCAGATATGTAAAATGTGCGAAGGGTACGTCAATTGTAATGCCTTAGAAACGGGCCAATATTTACACCCAAAGATTCAGAATTACCACGAATACTAGTATAGAGGATAGAATAATACATATTATCTACTCTGGCAACCCAGAAATGGATTTCAACGCCCACACACTCCAAAATCGAGGTCCGGGGTAGGCGTCTTGCTGAGGGAAGAGAAAACTGACCAATGACAGATCTCCGAAATAATGGGTTACCTAATCACCGCTGCCAACAGCCATAGCACCAAGGACGACCACCATCTTCCTTGCAACCAAGAATGTTCAATTGACCTGACAACATCATACCGGATCCCAATCAGCCTCTTCACTCAAAATGGCGCATCTCAGTGAGTCTGCTGTAACTTGCCATATGACCATTTCCTTGCATTGCTAACCACGGCGACACGCAGAGTTCCGGCCGGACCCGGCCTACCAGAAGTATGCGGGTGCGTAATCTCCTCTTTCCCCAGACCCCGTGGGGAACACGCCATCCACCATGGTCCCCGTCACGATTATCCGGTCGTCGCAGCGACAGCGCCAGCGCCAGCGCCAGCGATCCAGAACGATGATGAGGTCTAACAATGGGATTGATATGTAGCCATGTCCAAGAACCGCCACCACTACTTCCGCTTCACGCCGCGCACTGCCCGCATCACCTTCATCTACGTGGCTGTCATCCCCGCCCTTCTCGGCGTTGTTGCCTACCAGACCGACGTAAATACCGAATCTCCCAATATTTGCGTGTCAAGTTCGTTCTTGTCGGTGTGCAGTCATTTTGTGCTAATTGGTATACTTGTAGGGACTCTATGCTTTGAGGGCAAAGCGGAGGGGCGACACTGTCTACGAGAAATAAGAGGCGCCGTCAACATCGGATTGAGGATGAATGGACATGTACTTATAAACGGGTTGCGTGGGATGGATTCCATGTCCATTCGAAACCACACCGATCTTTCCCTGGAATTCAATGAAATTCAAAGCATAACTTCCAACGACTCGTGTGCACAACTCCCTCCCGACTCTCACTCTGACCTAGTCCAATTCAAGCTCATCGTTCAACTCGGGTGCCCCTTATCCTCGAGAGGGACGGGCGTGACAAGAACTATCAGGTATTGGTTGCAGTATGGCACACGATATGTAATGGCTCGCGACAAAGTTGATATCGACCAACGTCTTGTTACTGACTTGTTGTGGAGCCATCCATGACCCCGGGCCCACCAGTCCCGACGGTGATGCTGCCGGTATCTTTTACGCCAAACCTTGGCTGCAGGCTCGCACTCTTATTGAAGCTGCGCAGCTCATATCAGACCAGTTCAGAAGATGAGCTTCGTCTCTATAACGGCGGAGGAGAGAGTTGGCGGGAGCCCCAGGGCTAATTCGTGGAGTGTGAGGTCTGGCCCGGCATACACTGTTGCCTTGAGGAGAGAGGAGGGTGAGGCGAAGTCACATCATCTACGTTATATTGCTAGATCGGATGATCTAGTTTAGCCGACAGCAGAACTACTACTAAAATATGGTTATTGCAGGTATGTTCATGTGTATCTTACGGATGGAAAAGCTGCCGCTTTGTACAATGACTGGACAAGAAACGGTGGGCCTTGACGGTCCTGATCGGGGTGAAGACGATTTCGACATGTCCCCCTCTTCTGTTTGAAAACAATCTGAAAACAGTACAAGCAATACCCTTAGAATTCACATTCAGAAGATAAAAGTACGCAAACAAAAGTGTTGTTTCGCCCCCCACCTAATAGAAAGAGCTCAATGTGATGTTACCATGTCAAGGCATGCGCAATATATGCACTGTATAGATAACATTATGACACTGTGTCCACGATCGATAAACGATAAACCCGACGTCAACGTCCCACCATGAAACTTTCCCAAGATCATTCACCAAGCAACAACAACAACAACGACGAATAATGCCCTCCCCCCCATCTCTCGGACGCACTCTATAGAAAACAAAACTGAAACACAACATACAAGGCCCTGTACAAACTTCATTGCCCACTATGGATTTCGCCGCCCTTATGGGCAAGGAGTTAAGCAAGTCCAAGAAGGCCGCCAGCGGGGGCAACGACCCCAAGAAAAAGAAGTTTATGAGGCGCGCCGATATCGAGGCGGAGCGCGAGGCAGCCTACCGAGCTGAGCAGAAAGCCCTAGAGGAGGAACGACAGGCCAAGGTGGCCGCCAAGCGGAAGCGCGAAGAGGATGCAGCAGCCGAGCACGCGGCGCGTGAGGAGAAGCGTCAGCGCCTAGCCGAGGAGTCGCGACGGCGCCGACAAGATGCGGAGTGGGAGGAGGAGCAGGCTCGGCGGCGACGGCTGGGACTTCCTGAGAAGCCCAAGCCATCCTCGGCTGGCGACGGCGACGGCACCGCCACATCCCCGGGCGCGCAGGACGACGGGGCTCAGGACGTGCCCGAAGAGGAGCTGATCGCCAAGCTGCGCGGCCTGGGCCACCCGGCCATCCTGTTTGGCGAAGGACACGCCGCGCGTCTCCGCCGCTACCGCCGCCTGACTACGGTTCTCACCGACGGCCCCATACCCACCACCCTCCAGCCCGTCGACGAGAAGGACATGAAGGTCGGGGCGGCCGTGCCCAAGGACCGCGACGGCCGCAGGTGGCTGTACCGCCAGCTGGCAAGCTACTTCACAATGGTGCTGACCGAGTATCAGCGTGCCATGGAAGCCGAGAGGAGAGATACCACCGCCAGCAAGAATGCTTACAATGCCATGGTTCAGACAAAGGAGAATATGAAGCCGGTGTGTTTTTCCTCTCTCTCTCTCTCTCTTCTCTCGCTTGCCTCTCCACCCCCCCTTCCTATCCTTTAGTGTGACCATGAGCTAACAAGACAACCCACGTCAGTTATATCGGAAATTCGAACGAGATGAACTAGAAGATTCTATCCTGGAACCCATCGTGGAAATAGTCAAGGCCCTCCAAGAGCGCCGATACGTCGACGCCAACGATGGCTACCTCCGCCTCAGCATCGGCAAGGCCGCCTGGCCCATCGGTGTCACCATGGTGGGTATCCACGAGCGTAGCGCCCGTGAGAAGCTGCACAATGGAGAGAAGGGTCACGTCATGGGTGACGAGGTTACGAGGAAGTTTCTCCAGAGCATAAAGCGCTGTCTGACGTTTGCTCAGGTGCGTTGGCCACCTACGGATTTGAGGCAGTTGATGGGCTGATTCTACCTCCCCCCTTTCCATCACGTCACCTCATCTCACTTTTTGCTCTTCTTGAATGATTTCTTTGTTATCATCATTACTGTCATCTTTTTCTTTTAGCGTTGTAGAAAGATTATTATAGGATGAAGGAATGCATTCGAGGAAAGGGAGAAAAAAAAGCAAGAAGAAAAAGAACACAATACCAAATTTTGATTGTAATGGAAAGTTCAAGACTACTATTCCCTGTTCTTTTTGGACAAAACAAGTTAAACGCCATGCTTACTATGATATAATTCAGACCAACCCGCCCCTTTTCTTCTCAAATGGTATGCATTCAATCCTTGTTGAACATGGTGGCAATGAGTTCTAGAGCGCCATCGACTCCCACTGGATGTATAGTTTTCTAGCCCTGGGCGCCCTCGACGAGATCGATGGGTCCGTCATCACCGTACCAGGTTCCCTCTGCGCCGGCGTTCCTGGGATTGCTGACCTCCAGTCCGGCGGCTACAAGGTTGATTCTGCGGAGACGTTCTTTGGCCTCTTGCTCATACCTGTGTGCTACGTCGAGGACAGTCTGCTGCATCTCCAGGCGAGCATCCGACCGTACAGCGACGAGGGTCTAATTTTTGGTCAGTGCGGGGTTCTCGAATGAAAGAAGGAAGAAATAAGAACACGGAGATAAAAGAGAGATGAAGGGGAAGGAGGGTCTTATGTACCTTGGCTTTGGAGTCGATCTTGGCATTCAACTCCCCATCGCGAATCATGCGGACGAGTTCGGGCTCGACCGACTGGACGTCATTGCCGAAAGCCGCATCGAGACTCTCTATGGTGACACATGAGAAGGGGACAAAGGACTGGACGATGCACTTCCTGCGAATGAGGCCGAGGATGTCTGCAACGTGCCTCTGGAGGTAAATGTCGAGGAGGTAGTCTGTCTCGTACGAGGCAAGCAGAGCCAGGCAGCTCGAATAGCGGCCGTTGATGAAGTGGCTGATGGCCTTGCGGATATGGGGCTCGTGCTCGAGAAATGTGCGGAAGGACTGGTTGTCGAGGACGCTGGTCTGCAGCCGAGCCCTGTCCATTGTCGCGAGGGCGAGCAGGCCGCCATAGACGGCTACGTCGTTGGGGGTGGCAATGTCGTTGTATGTGTCCGAGGGTACTTTCGGGTCGGCGCTGAGCAGGCTCTGGGCCGCATCGTGGAACTTGGCCATGCCGAGCTGGCCGATGCCATGGACGATGCGCGTGTAGGGTTGCATGCCCCTTTCCTCCTCGACACCCTGGATGCCGCTAATCTTGCCGGCGTTGCTCAGGACTGAGGACCAGTCGCGTCGCTGGAGGGCCACGCTGATCAGGCGCTGCGAGCAGTCCATGATGTGCTTGGTCGTGCTCACATCGTGGCGCATACGGCTGTAGGCTTCGGCCGCCTCCTTGAGGTGGCCCGTCTCCTCGAGGTGGTGACCCAAGTCCTCGTGTCCCATCTGTTGTCGCCCCCTCATTGTCAGCCGCAACGATGCTCCGACGCCGTACCCCCCCCCAGCCCTGCCAGTACGCCTCCCGTCCCCTTCAGCGAGTAGATACGTACCCTGATGCTCTCCTTGATGAGATTGTTCTTGTATCCCTTCAACTCGGACTCGAGGCGAGCCATCTCCCTCCGATTGGCGTCTTCCTTGTTCGTGACCCAGTCGTCGTCGAAGTTGGCCTCATCTTCATTCGGAGCCGCCAACCGGAGAAGCTGCCATGCGTTCTTGTATCTCCCCACATCGTCTCCTTTCTTGGCCTCCTGCACGGCCAACTTGAGAGCCTCGACGCACAGCGGTACGCAGCACTTTCCAATGTGTATCAGTCGGTCGAAGCGGGTTCGGCCTGCGAGGTGAGGCGTCAGTACGTCAACTCGGCGGCTAGTGTAGAGATTCGATGGGGCGAGATATAGCTGCACCTTCATAGTTCTGAATGTAACTCTCGAGATCGAACTTGGGTGACTCTGGTACTTGTCAGCAAACGACCACGAAGACGTATACGGCACCGTTAGACGATGGGGGCGAGCGGTACCGTGCAGGATGACGCCGTCTTCGGCTTTCATCTGGCTAAAAAAGTTCAGCAGGTCGCTTGTTTGCGATGCCATCATTGCAGTCTGGGTCAAGAAGCCAGTTTTTTGGGGGGCGTGTGTAGCAAGAGGTAGAAGCAATCCCAGCTTTCTCCTGTACCTCTTCCGGGCTGGTGATGCGCGGGGAGCTTGAATGATGGAGTCGAGGCTTGAAGAGTGGAGGGGCAGAAACGGTGGAGTGCTGCGTCAGACTCCGTCACGTCTGAGTTGGAAACGGAAAACGAAGAACGAAGAACGGAAAACGTGAAACGGTAGGGTGTCGAAGCTACAAGCACTTAGTAAGGTAGCTGCACAGTGACGAATGAGCTGGACAGTGTATCTCTGAGCAGTGCGTACGTTGTGGAGAGGCAGAACCTGGATGTGAAAAATGGGCACTGTGCATATGCACATGCACAGTCAGTTGTGTGTGTACTTGGTCTGTTGATTTCGTTATTCAGATGTTGAGCATGATTAGTCATGAGCGGTAATTGTCCTCTAAGCAAACCAGGATAGTAGTAGTTGTAGTCGTAGCAGTATAGGTGAGCCAGCTGAAGTGATGTTTTGTGATTCTCGTAGCAGAGGTGATGCCGAGGCAGCTGCTGTACGATATAAGGCTGTTTCGCCCGGAACACATTGCTGATACACGGATACAGGTACAGACTACATCCGCTACTTGCAATACATGTAGTACTGCCAGTAATATGTCTAGGAGTGTACTCGTACGTGCGGTGCTAAGATGATACTGCAAGCGGGAACGCAAAGCAAAGAACCCTGGAAATACGGCAATAGCCGTAGAACACCAGCCGTCGGCATCGAGCATCCGCGTGCCTATTAATACGTGCTTGATTCTCTTAGGCTGTCCTGCCGTTACTGTGAGTAAGTTTACTCTGTGCTTCTACTTCGTAACACTATCTACCTACGACGTAGTAATGAGTGTGGATCTCTCGGTTGGCTCTCTCTGTTTCTACTACGACGTAGGACGTGCATACTGACACTCGTGGGCGGGGAGGCAAAAAGGAAACAGAAAAAAAAAAGATCTAGCAGGTCATGCATAATTCGGACCCTGTCAAGACTCACTACCGTATACTGAATCGCACTCGTACTTGAGTTGTTGGGCTGCAGGACCGCAGGCAGAACTGGATCCTACTGGAGCCCGGGGGATCGTGGTCCGGAGGAACCGGGTTAGACTTAATATTTGCCTTTTTTTACCTTTAAAAAGTAACCCGTAGCTGCCTGGGCTTGTGCGGGAAAATCATACTACTCTACGAGTAGTCGAATTGGGTGGAGCTGGAGGCGAAGAAAAAAAAGTGTAGCAGAAAGGGAAAAGGGAAAACAAAGGGATTGATAGCCTGGCATTGGTTAGGAATGCTCAATGTTGGAAAAAAAAAATATGGGATGTATTATCGTCGGGAGATGGATAGGTTGACGAGACGCTTCTCAGTTTTATGTTTCTGTGGAATCTCGGTAGAAGAAAAGAATACGAGTAGAAAGAGGAGGGGAGGACAAAAGAAGATTATCCAGATCCTATTCGGGTTACGGTACTCGGTAGTAGTTGTGAGGCCCGTAGGGTGTGTGCGTGTTGACGGAGTGATATGCCGTACTGTTTACTCGTATTGTACGACTGACTCGTGCTACACCGGAGAGATGATCTTTGATAGACGGCTAAACAGTCAGTAGGCCGAGTACGGAGACGGGAAATTTATGACGAGATGCGAAAGAAGTTCATAATACATGTGCAGATTAGAGAGACTCTTATGCCCGCTTTCTTGCAACTTGCAACGTACATGCACGTATGTGGCGGCGGCATAAAAAGAGCGGTAAATGGATATTATTACTAGTTGACAGTAATCTGTACTCCGTACATACTCGTATGTTGCTACTACCAAGATGATACTTCGTAGCACTGACCACAAATCTCGCGTGCTCGTACGGGAATGCCGTTATTAGTAGGCGTACGAGTACAGATGCTCCTCCTCCTTTCCCCGTCCACGTCGCACACATGATATCATCGTCATCATGACTTGCTACCTGCCGGAGAGCCCTGGCTTCTAAAAAGAGAAACGGTCTGACATATTACGAATCGCTTTCCGTGAGCACACCACGAAATTGAGAGCTTCGGGGTCGACAGCAGCTCCACTCATCTGTACAACAATAATACACTGTCGAGCTGGGGGGGGGGGGGGATGGAACCCCTGGCAAAAGGTATTACGAGCGAAGTATTATATGATTGTTAGTGCTTTAGTACTCCGTAGTTTCGTAGTAATACTCCGTAGCCCAAGAATACAAGGCTCTCAACCATGCACTCCGTATCAGTCTGTCATATCAAGTATGAACATGAGAGATGAAAGAAAAGAAAAAAACAAAACCGAGGCAGGGATGGACAATGCAAAGAGGTGCTCATCAGTATCGGGATTTTCCTTTCCATGGACCATATTGCAAGTATCTGTACGAGTATTACTGTATGCCGAGGGCCACCAGCCCGATCTCGGGTGTGTGTGGGGGTGCAAAGATACACACAACCTGACGCGTACGAGTATTCCATCCTGCCGGCCTACCCATAGCCCGTGAGTGCGGTCAGTGGCGTGGTGGAGGAGCGAGAAGAGCGCGAGAAGAGGACGAGCGAGCGAGCGAGCGAGTGGCATCCTCCGGCTTCCGGGTACGCTATCGCCGAAGGCAACCTGTCTCAAGGCCCGGCGGGGAGGGTTGAGGGCTGGCCTCGGCTCGTCAGTGAGCTGGCTGCATCTAGATTCTAGCTTCAACCCTGCGTACTCGGTAGCAGCGGTACCTGGGGGGTAGCAGTTCCTTTTTGTTCCTCCCGTTCCTGCCCCCCCTCCTCCTTTTCGGTCAGCGGTACGTACATACACACGTACACTGTCTTACCATGGGGAGCGTGGTGGGATCGTGGTAATGTTTTGCTAGTGGATGCAGCATAAATAGTTCTGGAATCGAGAAGAATGAAGAGGTGAAGAGTGGAGGGAAGCAGTAGAGTCAACGGTTGGCTGTCCGGCTCTACGTAATAAGCATATCCGTTACTCGTAATGGCACTACATGGCAGGAGCGTCATGGACGCGCCTTCCGTGAATAAATGGTCCATGGGCGCCCTCCCACAAATACCCAAAGGGGAATTCTCGTATATATGTATATACATATTTAATATACATCTGTATATAAAGGACTAGCTAGAGAGACAGTCACGGAGGTAAGAGCGACGACCTACTCATACTTAAAAGATGGAAAAAAAAAGAGAAAGAGAGGAAGAAAAAAAAAAGAAAGAAAAACTTGATTGGTGCGACGAGTTCGAGGGCCACGACCATACACCGTAATAGTGGGTCATATAGCCTTCTACTCGTAGTGGGCCAAACCAATAGGCAAGGCCGAAACCATGGACTGTGAGCTAGTCGCCTGGGAGGGATGGAGGAAGGTCCATGCCCTCCCGGCGTCCACCATGGCCCCATGGAGGGCCCCCCATCCGTCATCCCCTACAGGCTACAGGCCACAGGCTACAGGTAGACCTCATGCCCCCAGGTATCCGTGTATATTATGTAGTAATACTCGTAGAGAGAGAGAGAGGGAGACAGGCAGGCCTCCAGCCCAGGCTCCAGGCTTCCAATTCAGGTCCTGCTGGGAGGCCGTCCGCGATGTAGAACGATACTCGTACCTGTGGTACTCCAGACGGGTCCAGTCCACACAAGCCCACACAGTCCTTGACGACCGACCCGGTGTACATGATGCAGCATGGGCGCCCTCTTCTACTCCGTAGTCATCGGTCAGTTGCCATGGGTTGTTCTGACCCTCTCCCCATGACTTACTGTACTGTTTTAGTGACCATCTTGAATTTCTACCGGATCGCTGGCCTACATGCATGTACTGATACTGTACTCCCGTAACCCCTCGAATACCTCATTATCCTCGTGCATGCAGCACACCCGTACTACTATTACCAGCAGCAATACCTACAGCCCACAGTCTACCGCAACTGTACAGATTAGACAGCTCGCAGTATCGCTACCTGCTGCAGAGAGTATTATGACTAGATGTAGTACGGAGTACATGTAGTGCTACTCGCAGCAGTACCCGTGGTAGTCATAGTAGTAGCTGTATCAACTACGACCGGCTGATTTGCCCACCATGGGATCCATCCAATTCTCCCACACCCCTCGACCCTCTCTCTCTCTCGCTCTCTCGCTCCCTCTCTCGCTCCCTCTCAAACGCTGTTACGACGTATTGTTTTCTTTTCCCACTGTGCTTACAGTCCCTCTCGTGCTGCACTAACAGTCGATACGCCCGGAGATGCTCTAATAATCAATCTCCATCCACCTTCAGCCCCGTACTCTGTGCTAGTGCTCACACTTCGCTCTCCTGTTCGCGCGCGCTGACTGGCAACATTATCCCTCCCCCCCCCCCCTCCCTCCCATTTGGTCATCCAACCTGGACCCCCCCCAAAAACCTCCTACGCCGTACTTCCCAGTCATCTTTACAATACGGATCCCGCATTTAAACCAACCAACGACACATAACCTTTCGACGCGACGACAACATTGCGAACTCGACGACACATGAATCCCGACCGACTGCCCGTGGCATAAATTGCCAACCCTAAAGGCAATTGGGACATGGGCATTCTGCTGGCCGCCCGCGACTTGGCCGTGACAGAGCCGATCGACTTGTGGTAGTTCGGCGTCTTCTTCCCAATCCCTCTTGCCCTCCTCTCTCTCGTCGTCCCCCCCCCCAAAAAAAAAAAACAGGACGACCGACGTAATCTCAGCAAGCCCACGGGCCGGTCGAGCCAGAGAATAAACTGTCCTGCCGCTCGAAGAGCGACCCGGATATTCTGCTACATATATATCCATTTCCGTCGAATTCTCAGCATCCTCTTCTTCCTCCTTACGCGTACCATATGGTGAGCACCGAGCCCCGCCTGCCGCATGCGACCGTTCCCAGCCAGATGATTACCACCATCTTGTTTTTCTCAGCAGAGAGGACATACTGGAGGACGGGAAAGTGCTCGACTATTTGCTAACCCTCGACGACCTAAAAGGCTTCCGCGCCCACGGAAATGTCCGAGGACGACGGCGGCTTGCCCGCCCATGAATGGACCGCCCAGGTATCGCCGGCCAACAGCGACTCCGAGCACGAACAAGATGGCATCGGCGGTCCCGATGGTCCCTCGCAACCCATCCAGAAGCGACGTCGAGTCACGCGCGCCTGCGACGAGTGCCGTCGAAAAAAGATTAAATGCGACGGAAAGCAGCCTTGCACACATTGCTCCGTATACAGCTATGGTTCGCCTCTTCTCTCCCTCTCTCCGCCCCCCTCTGTTCACCCTACGGCACGCGTTCTTTGATATATCAAGTCTGCCGTCCCATCAACTGACCAGAAACCAAAAGAATGCACATATGACAAGCCTTCGAATAGGAGGCGAAATCCTGCCCCTCAGTATATAGAGGCCTTAGAGGGTCGACTGCAGCGCGCCGAGAACCTTCTCCGCAAGTTCGTCCCCGACGTCGACCTCGCCGACCCCAACCTCGACCCTGCCATCCAGCAAGAGTTCCACAACCGTGAACAGGCCCGTGCTCGAGCTGGTGGCAGGCCACTCCCTCCCGGCCAGCATCTGCAGACGCCGCAGCAACATCACCCCCCTCCCTCCAGGGCCTCACAGGATGCCCAGCTCGTGTCCATGATTGACTCGACCGGCCAGCTTGATCTAGACGACAAGGGCGGTTGGGATTTTCAGGGTCGATCATCCGGATCTGTCTTCCTCAGGCGCATGAAGGAGCATTTCCGTGGGAAGCTGGGCCCCTCGACGAGGCTCAATTTCCTGTCACGCCCGGAGAAGCAGCCGTCCGGCCTGACAAATCTCGACCCACCTACCCCGGCTGGTGCATCACCCTTCTCCTCCACGTCTACGAGCTACACGGAGCTGCCGTCAAGGGAGGTTGCCCGTAACCTGTGCTACTACTCACTCAGCTGCGCCACGTGCCTGGAGCGGGTAGTCCATGTACCGTCGTTCTACGACAAGCTCGACAAGATCTACGACAGGCCCATAGAGAGCCTCAACCAGGAAGAGTCGCACTTTATGGCCTTGGTATATTCTGTGCTGGCACTTGGATGCATGTATAACAGCCTCGACGACGCGAATACCTCCAAGATGGCATATAGAGACTCCATCGACGAAGGGTAAGTTTTCACATGCACATGCGCACCGCCCTTCCCTCTTATGAGCAGCTCACGGTAGCTGCTATATCTGTGGAAAGAATGAAGAAGGAGAAGCAGGGCAGGGGGTGTAAACGAAAAGACGGAACGATGCTGACAGGAGGGAAAAAAAAGCATGAAATACTACAAAAGCGCCAGGGTACTCTTGCAGGACATTACTGATTGTCGCGACCTCACATCGCTACAAGCGCTCGTCTTCACCATCTTCTTCATGCAGGCCTCATCGAATCTTAGCGCATGTTACGCCTTTGTGGGCATCGCTCTTCGGTCGGCCCTGCGCATGGGACTCCACCGTCACCTCAAACATTCGCACATCGACACCATCGAGGATGAGACGCGCCGGCGAGTCTTTTACGTGATCCGCCAGATGGACATCTACGTGTCTACGCTTCTGGGGTTCCCCTTACTCCTGAGCATCGAAGACATCGACCAACCGTACCCGTCAGAAGTTGACGACGAGTATCTTCTCCCCGGCAGGATACCGCAACCGCAACCGGGAGCGACGTCCTTCTTCGTGGCCTTCAACGCCCACACACGGTTGATGGAGATCCTCGCCAAGATCACTAAATACGTCTACCCGATGAACGGGCCTGCTCAGGGCGTCAAGAGCAGCAACCCCGTCTCGTCCTACTCAGTCAGCTACTCGCGCATAAAGGATATCGAAGCCGATCTCCACTCGTGGTACGAACAGCTACCCGAGCACTGGCGGCCCAGCCCAGACGGGTCAGTCGAGGTCGTCCGCGTGCGCCATCTCCTCCGCTTCATCTACGCCCACGTCCAACTTGTCCTGTACCGTCCGTTCCTGCACTACGTGTCTCCGCGTCTGGGGCAGGGCACAAAAGTCGACGAGCTATCGTATGCCTGCGCCGCCGCGGCCATCAGCGTCTCCCGCAACATCGTGCACATTGGTCTGGAGATTCGCAAGCAGCGCGTCCTCAGCGGCCCCTACTGGTTCATGCTGTACACCGAGTTCTTCGCCGTCCTCTCTCTGGTCTTCTATGCCATCGAGAACCCGGAGAAGCCTGGGTCGGCCGAGGTGTTGGCTGATGCGTGGGCAGGGCGCAGGATGATTGCCGAGTTGGCGGACAGGAGTCTCTCGGCAGACAGGGTAACGGAGTCATTGCAGGTGTGCTATTCCTCACTCCCTTCCTTTTTCCTGACCCCCCCTCTCCTCCTCCTTTCTCGCTCCTTGTCCTTGGTCTTCTCTCTCGAAGAAAATCGGAACAGTGGTTGGTATAAAGAAGGAATGAACGAAACATCGGTAGAGGAAAGCAAGAACCAGCTAACTCAGATATTACAGGCCCTCTTCGATCAACTACCGGAGAAACCTGATACGGCTACATTTCAGAAGCAGTCCTCCAGCAAGAAGAGGTCAGCACCCCCGGTATCAAAGGACATCTCCAACCCCATGTTTCCGCCGCCCCGCCAGTCGAGCGTCGGCTCCCAGCGGACAGACGAGCTCTCGCGAGCCCGCCAGGGTGGCAGGACGGCACCCCCGCCGTTTGGAACTCCCTCATCGCAGATGGTGGACCCGAGGATCCATGACCCTGGTTTCGCGACAAGCATGGACCTGCTGGGCTACGACATGTCGTCGCGGGCCACCTCGGGCTCGCCAAGCACGGCATCGAGCTCTCATCCTCCCTCATTCCCCGTATCACAGCAACAGCATCAGCATATCGGCTCGCAGAATGCCGTCAACAAGCTGGACAACCTGATGTTCCCGTCGGCCGACCCATTCGCGTACCCGAACCAGCCGATGATGGAACTCAATTTCCAGCAGACCCCCTCCTCGTCGACGGCAGGTGGGGTCAGCATCGACAGCACCAGCGGCCCCGGACCCCACAACGACGCCAACAGCTTCTTCATGACGGGTCCCATGGACGACGTAGACAGCCAGCTGCTAGGCCAGCCGCCGCCATATATGATGCAGCAGCCCGACGGGCACCCGGGCATGGGCTTCCCGGCGGCCAACATGTACGACCCTGGTCTGTTCAGCATACAGATGGGAGGAGGGTCGGGGGGACCGGAAGGAAGTTCCCACCACCCTCCCAACCCGGCCGCACAGCAACCGCCGCCACCGCATCCGTCACAGGTGCAGCACCAACGCCATCATCACGGTATGCCTTCTCACCACAACCAGTCCATCCACCCGGCCTTTGCCCACCCTCGGAGGCCGCAGCCCCGTCAGGCAGAGAGGCAGATGGACCAGATCTTTACAGAGAATGGCATGCAGGCGGACTGGGGGAGCTTCTTTGGCTCGGGAAGAGGTGTGTTTCAGGGAATGTGAAATGGCCGATTTATGTGATACCCATTGTTATTTTGATACTTTTTTTTATATCTCATCTTTTCACCCTGCACCTTCCTCTTTCTTGGTGTTTCCATGTCTTCTTCCTTCTCGGGTCTATCGGTTAACCTTGGGATCCCTTCTTCCCCCTCACGCCCTCCCCTTTTTCGTGTCTTGTGTTTTCATTGTTGCATCGTTTAGAAGAAGACCTTTTTTTCTTGGGGTCGCACGATAAAGGGACGAACTGGCGACTTCTTTTTGGGTTCTTCTGTGTGTCGGGGGGCTCATGTTAAACGAAAAACGGGCATTTTTCGTGGTGGACGGGGACCGGGTTCCTCTGTCCACGACACACATTATTCGTTTCTCTAGTGGACTTTCTATATGTCTTTTTTTTTTTTTCCATTTTCTTTTTCATGCCCGCTCTGGCACACTTTGGATGAGCATTGTTTCGGTGTTTTCTCTCTCTGTTCTATTTTTCGGGGGATCTGTCTTGTGTGTTTTTGAGGAGTGGGCAAGGGGTGTAAATGTTGTTGTTGTTGGACAATGGTTAAAGGCGATGGAATGGAATGGACATATGAGGTGGTTGATATGAATGGGCTTGAAAGGATTTTGCAAGGCGCCCAGGGGTTTTTCAATCAAACTTTTATCTATGTGTATGGTGTTGGACGGAGTAATAAAGTCAGACAAAAGATGATCGGCCTGGCTTATGTTCTAACGCTGTTTTTGACCATGATGATTAAAGATGATGTGCATCAGTAATAGATATTTGAAGCATATGCGTATAAATAAAGGTGATGATGAGTCGATGCACCTTGAACGATGTTACTTGATCTGATGTTGCCTGCAATCGAAAATGGACACTGCTAGTAGTAAACCTGGTAGCCAAGTCTATTCGCCACGCCCCGTTGGCTGCTAATAATTTCAAAGCCCCAAGACCAAAAGAGGGGGGGGAGGATCACGTCCATGACACACATGATACATGCCAATCTTCGAAATCATCACTCACACTCACCTCTACAACACAACGGCTTCGACATACGGAAGCGAAAGCGAGAGCGTGGAGGGAAGGAGGAGAAGGAGACAAAAGAAACAGAATCATTCACACCGACCGCACGCAAGGGAAAAGAGAGAGAGAGAGAGAGATACATATAGAGAAAGAGGGGGAGAAGCGGGAGAGAGAAAGAAAGAAAGAGAGAGAGAGTGAGAGAGAAAGGAGGCAAAGATGTCCATGATGATATGCCCAACAATCTACATCTTCCGCGGCGACCCCGACGTATACTACAAGCGCCACTGCATCATCTGCTTCACCTCGCCGGACGACGACACGCTGAACGAGAGCATCCACGTGCAGCGGGACGGCGAGGACGATCCCTGGGTCCTCCACCGGAGCCACGAGGACATGGACTGGATCACGAACGACGGCTATATCGGGCACGTCAACGTCGGGGCCATAACGGTGCGGGGAGGGGCCGACGAGGCCCAGCTCGTGGCCGACATCGTGGCCGGCACGCCGCTACATGGGCCGACGCACGAGAGGGAGTGGAACTGCCAGTCCTTCCTGCTCGAGGGCCTGAAGACGCTGGCCGACGAGGGGTTCCAGACCCAGGCGTGGTATGAGGATACTATGGAGGAGTTTATGGATAGGTTGATTGAAGGGGCTGTGCCTTGATGACGACGCAGGCAGGGGGGTGTTTTTATTTTATTTTATGGCGCATCTATTTGTGAGTATCAATATCGACGGGGTTTGTCTGATGACATACTGCTCCTACGGCCATGGGGCGAGTGGTAATAATACGGAGTGTAGGTACGTAGTGATGACGGATCATGGGCGGGTGTAGCCTCGGAGATACACCAAATTATCAGGGACGTGAGGGTCACACGACAACAAACCCCTTATAGCGTAAGTATCTGTGAATACAACTACATCCGCCACCACTATAGGGGACATTGTGATTAGGAAGGTATCGTCTAGGAGGCTGACTGTAGTAGGATGTGGGTTGGCCAGGCACGGATCTGGAATCCTCTCCCACCTCCCAACGGGTTCCCAACGGGCGGCCTCTGTTTTTCAACGTACAAGCACCCCCAACGACAATAGTACCACGCCGCATATGATAATATAGTATTATTACTGGTAGAAAAGAAGCCAAGGTGACACGGAAAGGGGGAAAATAACAGCTGCCCGGGTGTAATTAGGTTACCTACGCTTCCGCTCTTCTCATCCACCTCAATTGATAGTTGCCGAACCGGTGCCGATGGGAGTACCTTGTACAGTGTGGATAACACACACACACAAAAAAAAAAGCTAAAGAAAAAAAAAAGACGAGAAATAAAAGGGCCTTATGCCATGGACTTGTTCGGAGCCGGCGGGTATAGTACGGGAATGCGGGGGATGACATGGATAGAGCGAGTCACGACCGGGGAAAGGTAAGCCGATTAGCCAGGTGGACTAGGAAACATATTAAAAAAAATAAAAAGTTCTTGACATGTATTTCGTAATATCTGCTCCCTGCTATTCTTCAACTAGTATTTGCACCTAATAAATGTATCGTCTTAACCTTGGTTTATCATAAGGGGGGGGTGGGAGGTGTGAGCGCGGGATATCCGTGCTATGTGGAGACTGTAAGTTTTACACAGTATTAACACTGTTATGGACTGTGCGAAAAGAGAAGGAATATAAACTGTACAAAAAAAACCGGAACAGAAAACGGAGTGGCTATAGAAAGAAAAACGGAGAGCTGAAAACGGTCAGGGCTCAAGATTTACATATACTGGTATTGGCAGGATTACGGTACCCAATTAGGAAAATATCACGTATCTAAACCCCACACAAACTATCCAACTTTACTTATTTCGAGATCGACACTCTAGGCTAGTAGTAACAGCATCACCGCCATTCTCGTTTCCATCCAACTTGATATCCTCTACGACGCCCGTTCTTCTATCCTCAAGTAGCAGCTATTATTTAGTAGAGGGTCACAGTGGAGAGTTTGTCTTTTCTTTTTTTGGGAGGGGGCGCAGAATTATCACGCCGCGCAACATCAGAGGTAGACCCAGACGTCTGATCTCAGACGCCATGGTTCATTTAGGAGTTGATGCGGTCCTCGACCTCGAGTTTGATGCCTTGTGAGAAATACTACTGTTCTTTTCCTGACTGACAGCATCAGCAGCAGCAGCATTAGCAGCAGCATTTTCTTGTGTGAATATGAAGGGCTTATACGAGATATAGGAAGCTCGATGTCCAGCCTGAATTCAGCGATGCTGAGCTCCTCCGTCAGAAATACCCTGGTATGACTAGTTACCACTAGACCTTTCCCTCTCCGTCCATGTCACCCCTCTAACACGAGAGCCTCAACAGCCAAAGCTCATGCTCGCAAGGTAGCTGAGGAGCTCAAGATCGGGGCTGGTCACGGCTGTGAATCGGGCATCATCTACATCCCCGGCGAGCCGACTCGGCAGTACGTTGACTCGGATCAAGGTCCCGAATTCCGTCAGCGTCGCTAGTAAGCTCCCATCTACATCCCATTCATTCTTATACAAGACAAACCCCCCCTCCCCGTCTCCCGCGTCCTCACTGATATTGACGTCCCTCCATCAGCTTCTACTACATCACCGGCGTCGAATACGCCGACTGCACCGTGACGTACGAGGTTGGCAGCGACACGCTGACGCTGTGGATCCCGTACATCGAGCCCCGCCAGGCCCTCTACTACGGTAACGTACCGGACGCGGCCAGGATGTCCGACATGTTCGACGTGGACAGGGTGAGGTACTCCAAGGAGCTCCCGGGCTTCGTGGCGGCCAAGTCTAACCCGTCGACGACCTTCTACGTCCTGAGTCGGACGCAGGTGCACCGAGTGATGCTCATGGCGCCGGCTCCCGACAAGGACGGCGATGACAAGAGACCCCGCGTGGACTGGGCGCGGCTCAGGCCGGCCATGGACCGCGCCCGCGTCGTTAAGGATGCCCACGAGATCGCCCTGATCCGCCGCGCCAACTCCATCTCCAGCATCGCCCACCGCAAGGTCGCCGCCAACCTCCTCCGCCTGGGCAACGAGCAGGACGTCGAGGCCATCTTCCTGGCCACCTGCATCGGACGTGGCGCCCACAAGCAGGCCTACCACATCATCGCCGGGTCCGGCCCCAACGCCGCGACGTTGCACTACGATGCTAACGACGCCCCCCTCCGCGCGTCCGACGTCCTCGTTATCGACGCCGGCTGCGAGTACCGCTGCTACGCGAGCGACATCACCCGCTCCCTGCCCATCTCCGGCTCCTGGAGCCGCGAGTCCGGTGCGATCTACGCCGTCGTCCAGCGCATGCAGGACGCATGCATACGCTCCGTCCGCCCCGGCCTCCGCTACGCGAACCTCCACCTCCTCGCCGCCCAGATCGCCACCGACGCCCTCCTCGACCTCGGCATCCTGCGCGGCCCCAAGGCCGACGTCCACGCCAGCCGCGTCGTCGCCGCCTTCTTCCCCCACGGCCTCGGCCACCACGTCGGTCTCGAGGTCCACGACGTTACCGGAGATGACAAGCTGCTCACCGGGCTCGACGTCTATAATGAAACCTATGACACAAGCAGCCACGCTGCTTCCCGTCGCCCCAAGCTGCAGTCCATGTCGCGCGAGGGTCTGATCTCCCTGGCTAAGGATTCTGCTCTCCATTCCCAGGCCCACGCGGGTGAGGTGCGTCCTCAGCTACAGGTCCTTCAGCCTGGAATGATTGTCACTATTGAGCCTGGACTGTAAGCTTTTCCTCCCCCACCCCCCCTTCTGCTCCTCCGTTCTTCTTCCTCTTCCTTTAATCCATGTAGTCTACCTCCTCTGACGTGCAAATACAGCTACTTTAACCGCGACTACCTCCAAGGATACTACCTCTCCAAGCCGGATATTGCCCGCTTCATCGACACCGACGTCCTGCAGCGCTACTACCCCGTCGGAGGCGTACGTATCGAGGACGACATCCTCGTCACAAAGGATGGCTATGAAAATCTGACGACGGCTCCCAAGGGCGAAGAGCTCCTGGATATCATTAATGGGACGTACGAGTTTCTTTGATCCATCTCCTTTTTCCTCTCTGTCTGTTGTCTGATGGATGCCATACTTGGACTGAAATTGGGAGAATGTCTATTTGTTGTCAGGGATACACTCTTTTTTTTTTTGATCTTTCCCTTCTTACGACGCTTGCTCCCTCACCTTTCCATGTCTTATTCTGTCTGGCGTCTGGGAGTTGATGCTTGTCTTGCTTTGTTTACCCGAATATGAATGCTGTCCCATCCCTTATCCCTTTTTCTCTCATGGTTGTGACGATCGATGATTTGATGTGCATGCTCGACCTTTTGCCTTACTCTGTGCTCGTACGCTTTTTGGTAAAGAAGAAAAAAAATGAATTCATAGATACATGTAGATAAATTGATCTCCCGTAACGCTCTGCCAATGTGTGTTTACATGTTGTACAGCTCCCCCCCTCTTATTCTCCTCCCTCGCTGACGCCAACTCCAACTCCCCCCCCCCCCCCCCCCCCCCCCCCCCCCCCCCCCCTCGTGTGTGTGTGTGTGTGTGTGTGTGTGTGTGTGTGTGTGTGTAGTTGTGTGTAGTGTGGTTTTGAATTTCTATATGGAAAGAGAAAGTGGGTGTGTTGGAAGCGAGTGATTGAATCACAGATACTTCTTTGGTGAATTGGCCTTGCGATACTTGTAAAACAGGTAGGCTCCGACGAGGACGACCTGGGCGACGACGAACAGGGCAAAGAGCTTGCGGTGGCTGGGCATGCTGTCGAGCAGGGTCTGGGACAGGGTGGCATGATGGTCGGACAGGTAGCCCTTGAAGGCGCGTTCGTTGTCGCGGATCTTGCGGCTGACGTCGTTGCGCACGCCCCTGACCTCGCCCTCTAGCTTCTGGAAGCGCTGGTCCAGGGCCTCGACGCGCTCCATCTTGGCGGCCACGTCGGAGCGGATGGACGCGACGTCGGCGCCCAGGTTGGAGATGAGCGTCTTGAGCTCGGCGTGGCGCTGCTCGTCGAGCTGGTGGTGGCGGGAGACGGAGCGGTACACGGACGAGAGCTGGTGGTGGGTGGACTGGAGACGGTTGTGCAGGTCCTGGAACTGCAGCTTGGAGGTCTGGAAGATGTCCGGGTCCTGATCGATGACGTCGTCGAATGAGTCGTCGCCGTCTTCGTTACTGTCGTCGTTTCTGCCACCCTGATTGCTGTCGTTGCCACCGTCGTTGTAGTTACGCTTGGGGGGCTGCTGCTGGATACGAGACCTGGTTTCCGATTTTGCGGCCGGGTTGGCGTAGCCGTAGCTGTTGTCATTGCTGCTGCTGCCGCCGCCGCTCCGGTCGGAGAGGACGACGAGCTTGAAGACCTCGAAGGAGTCGGGGTTGTCGGGCGTGGCGGCGGTGAGACCGACGTTGTACCCGCGCGGCAAACTGACCTTGTCGCTCTGGAAGCACAGGCGCCCATCAATCTCGACGCGGAACATGTCGCGCGACTGGCTGAGCTTGACCTGCGAGGGTCGGCCGAGGTTGCGGTACGAGTACGCGCAGTGGCCAAAGGCCAGCTCGTCGACCGATGACCGGGCGCCGAAGTCGACGGATCCGTCGTTGAGGAAGCCGCGGAGCATGCCGCCCGAACCGCCGTGGGCGTCGATGACCAGGGCAAGACCCTCGAACTTGCCCACGGTGTAGATGCTCTTGTCACCGACCGAGGCCTTGCCGTCCCTGGCCAGCCAGATGTTGAAGTTGCCGCCGCCGCGCTCCGGGCCCGTCGCCCGCAGGTCCACGTCTGCCACCCACGCCGGCTCGTCCAGCGTCTTTTCCGACCAGATCGATGCTCGCTGGTTTCCGGGGGCCACGGGTGTGAGTATCACCTTGTTCGACAGGAGCTGCGGTTGGCCGTAGGAGCTGCCTTGGAGAGCAAAGTTGGGGATCTGTCCGCGGGAGTCACCTTGGTTTATCCTGTGATCGGACACACAAACTGTCAGTTACACGACTATCCTGTGCGGAGGAAGAGAACCCCCAAACGAGGGACAAGCCAACCAACCTCCCCTCGTAGCCAAAGCTGAGCTCACTGATGAGAACCTGCTGGGCTTGGGCCATGCCCGCCGACAGCAGAGCTGCCATCGCCCCGGTCAAACGCATGATGGGCGGGGGATGTTTTCTCTTCTTTTTCTGTTTCTTTTCTTTTTCCGTGAGGAGCAAAAGGAGTGGATATAAAACAAGAAAAAGAGCTGGAATCAAAAGAGGAAGAAGAAGAAAAAGAAGAATGAAGGAATGAACGGGAAAAAGAAAAAAGAAAATGCACCAATATGTTCTGTTCCTGTTGTTGTTGGCGGTAGGACTGAAAAGGTTCTAAAAGAGAATACGAGCAGAGGACACTTTGCAAACAACGCCAAGGATTTGGGGGAAAAGACTCCCCAACCTGGCCGTACTCTGTCCCTCGTGGCGCGCAGCGCGTAAAAAGGAGCAGAAAGCCAATCTGAGACCAAACGCGTGTTCGTGGAGGAAAGCAAGTCGGGAATTGGCAAGGTCGAGAGGGGGGGAGGGGGAGATGGCAATGGCAAATGCGGTGAAGCTTATCAAGAGATTAGAGAGAAGAAATGGTGAGCTCTTGCTTAGGGATGTATGTATTCATCCGTACTTGGGTATCATTACGTCGTTACTATCGTTGCTATAATATAATCTTCTCCTCCCCCCCTCAAAAAAAAAAAGAGCCCACATTGAAGTTGTGGCTGAGGTAACAGGGACCTCGAGCTGTCACAGTCTGTGGCTTGACATTTCCCGTGGCTCAGCCTTATCACCGACACCAGCCCCAGTTTCATTGAACGGAGCTTGCTCTCCCCAAGTTTATTATATTCTAGTGGCCAACTCTTCCTCCTAAGCTATCTTGCCTCAGTCTTCCTCCTTTGCCGTCCCCACCACCACCACCATCACCACCACCGTCACACTGCGTCCAATGCAGGGGCCGTTGTCATAAGGACGACGCGGTTGAATTATACAGGTAAAAAGAAGAGGTCAAAGGACACTGATGGCAGAGTCGTGGCCTTCGTTGGGCCAGTGCACCTTGGTGTCGGCTGCATTCAAGGTGCTCCTGTTCCCTGCATAGTGAGTTTCCCGTCTTGGCCGGGTCGTCGGCGTTGGGTTTCCGTCTCTTCTCTCATCCGACAGGCAGAGAGACTTGTGTGCTCTCTCTCCCTCCCCCCCCCCTCTCTCTCTCTCTCACACACACACACACACACATATATATATATATATGCTGAGCTAAAGAGAAGGGCATAAGCACATGTAAAAGATTCTAAAACATCTCAGCTAACAATGGCAACGGCAGCAAATCGACCGATTTCGAAGTCCACCGTAACTGGCTAGCAGTGACATACTCCCTCCCGATATCAGAGTGGTACTACGAGAAGACGTCGCAATGGACCCTCGACTACCCGCCCCTGTTCGCCTACTTCGAGTGGGTGCTCTCGCACGTCGGCCACCTCCTCGACCCGGCCATGGTGCGCATCTACAACCTCGAATACGACGGCTGGCGCACCGTCTACTTCCAGCGCGCCTCCGTCATCATCACCGAGCTGGTCCTCGTCTTCGCCCTGCAGGCCTACATAGAGTCCACGTCGCCCCGCTGGCGCCGCGCCGCCCACGTCGCCGCCGTGTCCGTCATGCTCTCCCCCGGCCTGCTGATCATCGACCACATCCACTTCCAGTACAACGGCTTCCTCTACGGCCTTCTCGTGTGGTCGCTCGTCCTGGCCCGGAGCAGGTCCACCCTGCTCCCCAGCGGCCTGCTCTTCGCCGCCCTGCTGTGCTTCAAGCACATATACCTGTACCTCGCGCCGGCCTACTTTGTCTTTTTGCTGCGCACCTACTGCCTCTCGCCCAAGTCGCTGTTCCGCATCCGCCTCCTCAACTGCCTCAAGCTGGGGACGGGGCTGGCCGCTGTGGCCGGCGCCGCGTTCGGTCCGTTTGTCGCCATGGAGCAGATCCCTCAGCTGCTCAGTCGGCTGTTTCCCTTTTCACGCGGTCTCTGCCACGCGTACTGGGCTCCCAATGTCTGGGCCATGTATTCGTTTCTCGACCGGGCGCTGATCCACGGTATGATCTCTTCTTGCTCCTCCCCCCTCTCCCTCCTCTCTCTCGACAGCTGATGCTGACAGTGCCCCTCGCAGCCGCCCCCAGACTAGGCCTCACGGTGCGGGTCGAGGCCCTGGAGAGCGTGACGCGCGGTCTGGTGGGCGACACCTCGTTTGCCGTTCTCCCGGACATCAGCGCACGCACGTGTTTCCTCCTGACGGTCTTCTTCCAGGCGCTCCCGCTGATCAAGCTGTTTGGGGCCCCGACGTGGGAGAACTTTGTGGGGGCCGTGACGCTGTGCGGGTACGCGTCGTTCCTCTTTGGCTGGCACGTGCACGAGAAGGCCATCCTGCTCGTCATCATCCCCTTCAGCCTGGTGGCCCTGCGCGACCGACGGCACTTTGGCGCTTTCAAGCCGCTCGCGGTGGCGGGCCACGTGTCGCTCATGCCACTCCTCTTCACGCCGGCCGAGTTCCCGATCAAGACGGCCTACACCATCTTCTGGCTCATCACGTTCCTGGTGGCGTTTGAGCGGCTGGCGCCGGCGTCCAACACGAACAAGCAGCGGTTCTTCCTGCTGGACCGGTTCAGCACCATCTACATCGCCGTAAGCATACCGCTGATCGCGTACTGCTCGCTGCTCCACTCGGTCGTGTTCGGCAAGTCGTACGAGTTTCTGCCGCTCATGTTCACCAGCTCTTATTGTGCTATCGGGGTGGTGGGGAGCTGGGTTGGGTACATGGTTGTGTATTTTACGTCGTAGAAGTTCAGGCTGGGTCATTGGCTGACCTGGTGTCGCAGGATACCCTGATGTAATGCAAAGATATGAAGTTTAAATGTGTATATATATATATATATGTGTGTGTGTGTGTGTGTGTGTGTGTGTGTGTATGTATGTATGTATATATACATATATACATACATGTATGTTGAGAGATGAATAAAGAAAGGAACGAAGAAAATCCATCAGTTAATCGTTCTCTAAGCTACTAGTCGTCGTAGCAGATGAATGGCAGTATTGAAAGATGACTCAGCACAGGTACGCGCCAAAGAAAAAAAGAAAAGAAAAAAAGAAAAAAAGAGGCAAAGAGTATTTTTGTGCGTGTGGAGACCGAGCCGACAGCTTCCACGCGAGACAAAGTGCCGAATCAGTACTAAACCGCTGCTGGTAGGAACTGTTTTTTTTTTACGATGAAGCGTTGAAATGTCTCAAAAGAAATCTTTCTTTTCAATCGCAATCTCTGTACTCTCTCATTCATCATGTTTTCGTCCTTTTTTTTTTTCTTTCTTACAATCTGAGACTTTATAACAAACACATGCGCATACATCCTAAACCTTTTTTTGCCAGATCTGACTCGGCCAGAGGCTTCTTCTCCTTTGCCAAGTATTAATACACCCTATTGATTGAAGATTACCCGATTAGGAACATGACATGACGCGATGGGGTGAGGGGGGTTGGGGTTGGGGTTGGGGTTGAGGGTTGGGGGTTAGTCCTCCAGAGCATCCTGGGTAGAATCCTAGAGGATTGGCATACGAAGACCCAATGAGCAACAATGATCATGGGATAGGACAGGTAACAGTTCTCTCTCTCTCTCTCTCTCTCTCCCTCCCTCCTCCTCCCCCCCCCCCCCTCTCTCTCTCTCTCTCTCTCCCCACCCACCGCCGCGCGCACAACCGGACCGCGTTTTTCCCCCCCCCTTCTACCACCGCTTTTCTCACCAACACTTGAATCCTTTCCTTCACCCAAAACAACACACACACACACGCACGCACACACACACACACACACACACACACACGTACGCATACTTAAACGCACTTACGCTCTTATAAAACATCTGCTCTCTTGGAAACACGGATCCGATCAGAACAATAAAAAATAAACTGCTCCCCCCCCCCGGACCGTCTTCGCGCTCCCCTCCGATCCATGCCACTTTAACCCGCGACGCCCACGGGCTCCTGGCGCTTATTCTGGTCACGACCAATTGCCTACGACCAACCAATTCCTACCGACAAACACGACAAACTCTTCCCTTCACTTCATAGCTATGGTACTGCTGCTCTCTCCCTCTGTCTCGAACCCCCTCCTCTATATGGAAAAAAAAAAGAGACAGAAAAACAAAAAACCACGAGCTTGGACTTGGGGGGGCTTACACCGTTGCGCACCGCGCGCTCTCTCTCTCCTCTTCTAGGTCCTCTACAAACGGAAACCTGTGCAGTTTCTGCCCCCGGTTGACGTCCCGAATGACGATGTCGAGGTGCGGCCCTCTACTCCGACCCCGTCTCTCTTTCCCTTCTCCTGTCTCTAATATGCGCGATGGCGAAAATAGGTGTGGTACATTCGCGAGACTGGCGAGGTCTTTCTCTCTTATGAAGACTACCTCACCCGGTGAGCTCTCTCCCTTCAACGACTGCAGCCGTGTCTCCCTCGGAAGCATGTGGCTCTGCTGACGACGTGGTGTCTTTTGCAGGATGGACTTTTACAAGCAGGTGAGACACCATCTTTCTTCTCCTGTCTCCCCTCCGAGATCATGGAAGAGAGGGAGCAAGACTCCGAGACCTCTGAACAGCCTTGTCTGACACGTGTGTGCCTGACAGCATCGATTCAACGACGAGATAACAGGACAGTCGGCCATGACCTTTTTCGAGGCCCTCAAGAGCGAGGTGTGTATGGAAGACGGGAAAGGAGTGGGGGGGAGGGAGTGAACACGATGACAGGATGAGCCCGGAAACTGACACTGGCAACCAGCTCACCGGCGGCAAAGAAGTGGAGGCCAACTTTCCCGAAGCCCTCAAGGGTCCCGTCCTCCGCAAAGTCCAATTCCAGACGACATCGCGCCTCGACAGCATGGTCGACGCGCTCTTCAACGAATTCAAGAACGACTTCTACCCCGGCGAAGAGGTCGTGGTCGAATCCGACGCCAGCGGCGGCCAGCGCACCCACGGCCGGGTGCGCGACAAGACGTCGTTTGGCGCGCGCATCATGGCCGACGGCACCAAGCTGGCCCCCTTCTCGCGGTACCTGGTCACCCTCAACGACGGCAAGGAGGAGATCCAGTTCAAGGACGAGGATGTGGCGCGCGACAGGGGCGTCTTCACAAAGGCCATGCTGCGGTCCTTCATCAAGCGGACCACGACGCGCGAGGCCTGGAACGGCGCCCCCTGGCTCGTCAAGGACGAGTACGCTGACCAGTACCACATCGACACGCGCATCCCGCCACATCTACGATACGACACCAAGCGCGAGGAGCGCAAGATGCTCCAGGCCCAGAAGCGCGCCTCCCACTCGTCAAACGACATCAACGGCCTCCTCACCGCCAACACTGCCAACAACAACAGCAACGGCAACAACAGCAACAGCAACAACAAAACCACTGCCGCCGCCGCCGCCGCCGCCGCTACAAACGGAGACTCGGGTCCCGTCCGCCTGCCCGAGCTCAAACCTGCGGCGCCGAAGAGCCACAAGGCCAGGCAGCAGCAGACCGCCGCTGCTGCGCCCCCGGCAGTCACACCCAGGGAGCCGACCCCGCCGCCGCCCCCGACCCCGCCCCCTCCTCCGCCCAAGTACCCGATCGAGGATCTCGACCTGGCGCCCAACCTCCTCGAAGACGGAACCCCCGCGCGACGACCGCCCCTCAAGTTCCTGTGCAAGGACCCCCCCCACGGCTACGGCGCCGGCGACGACTGGAGGAGCCAGAAGATCAGCATGGACACGGTGGGTCTGCTGCTGGAGACGTGGGACACGCTCAACGTCTACTGCGAGATCTTCCAGCTCGACTCCTTCACATTTGACGACTTTGTCGAGGCAATGATTGTCGCGTCCGACAAAGTCCCCGTCCAGCTGTTTGACGAGGTGCACTGCGCCGTGCTGAAGGTCCTGGTGGACTCTGAGCGCGACGGCGGCAAGGTGCGCATCACGCTACCCGAGCTGGATGACGAGGATGGGTCCGACGAGGACGACGAGGACGACGAGGACGAGGGAGACGAGGCCACGCCGGAACCGGAACCGAAACCCACCGGCCGCGCGACGAGGAGCAGTCTGGCCAAGCTCGAGGCCGAGAGGCTGGCCGCCGAGGCGGCGGCGGCAGAGGAGGAGGCCGAGATGGAGACGCGACACCGCGCAGAGCACCTCCTGCGCGACTACAGCTGGATCGACCACCTCCGCCAGCGCGACTTCGAGGACGGCGGCTGGCAGCGCATCATGGTCGGCCTGCTGCACCAGCTCTCCAAGGACCCCCGGCGGGAGCAGCAGTGCGAGGACCTCCTCCTGCAGCTGGTGCCGCCCCGCTCCAGCATCGACGACGACGAGCCCACGCAGGAGAGCGTCCGGCTCAGATACGCCGAGCTCGACGTCGACCGCCGCGTCCAGGCCCTCCAGATCATCTGCATGCTCACCATGGAGACCAAGACGGTCAGGGGGTACATGGAGGAGTGTAGCGAGACCATGACCAAGTACCGCAAGGACAAGATCGAGTGGCAGAGGCAGAGGAAGCAGGCGTGAGTAGCAAGCAGCCCCCTTTGCGCGAAAGAAGCCCGGCAGGAGGACCCACAGAGTATCAGCTAACATTGGGGGGGGGGGGGATAAAACTAGAACCGAGGAGCTTCGACAGCTTAACGAGCAGCGTAAGACGCTGGAGCCACAGCGTGTGGAGTCACCGGTGGAGAATGGCAGCATCAAGGTCGAGGGCAGCGCTGCCGAAGAGGACACCAAGATGGTCGACCCCGAGGAGACGCAGACGGATGCCGGCGGCGGCGAGTCGGCGGCAGAAGAAGACAACGGCGGCAACGGCAATGCCAAGTCACGCAAGAAGCAGCGGAGACGCGTGCAAGAGGAGAAGCAGAAGCGCGACGAGGAGAGGGAACGCGAGAGGGAGCGCGAAAAGGCGGCGGCGGCGGCGGCCAAGCAGAACCCGCGGTCCCGTGAGCTGACCAAGGTGCTCAAGGAGATACAGAAGAAGGAGGACTTGATCAGGAAGTGCGAGGAAGAGGTGGCCGTCATCGACAACGACCTGCGCGAGGCCGACTGCCCGCGCACGCGGGTCCTCGGCAAGGACCGGTTCTGGAACCGATACTACTGGTTCGAGCGCAACGGCATGCCGTACGCCGGGCTGCCGACCAGCTCGACGGCCTCTGCCGGCTACGCCAACGGCTGCATATGGGTCCAGGGCCCGGACGACCTCGAGCGCGAGGGCTACATCGACCTGCCGGCCGACCTGTCGGACGAGTACGCGTCGCGCTTCGACCTGACCGTGTCCCAGCGCAAGGTGCTCGAGGAGGGCGACACTCGCGTCTCCACGGCCCGCCAGTGGGGCTACATATCCGATCCGGACGACCTGGACAGGCTGATACGATGGCTCGACACCAGGGGAAACCGCGAGTGCAAGCTGCGGAAGGAACTCCTCACCTTTCACGATCAGATGGTGGTCAACATGGTCAGGAGGAGGGAGCACCTCGCTGCCGAGCACCAGATCAACGGCGAGGACAAGAACAAAGACAAGGACAAGGACAAAGATAAGAACAAGGACAAGGACAAGGACGAAGAAGACGAAGATGACGACGACGACGAGTCCATGTCCGTGTCCATGTCCGCCGTGGGCAAACGTACCAGCTCGCGCATAAGGGATAAGACACCAGAAGCGCCGAGCTACCATTGTCTAGAGTGGGAGAACTCGACGGCCGTCGAGGAGCTGGGCCACCTCCATAGTGAGATGCCGCCTAAACCGAAGGCTAAGAAGAGTAAGAAGAGGGAGGCGACGACTGAGGCCGGGACGGGACCACCGGCAAAGACTAGGAAGAGGTGATCCCCCCCTCCTCTCTTCTTCTTCTTCTCTCCCTCAACCTGTCATTGCTCCTCTCCCCTCTTTTTCTTTTTTATTTTCTTTCTTATTTTTTGGACATATATCTCTTGGAGGAGTTTTTTTTTAAAAAAAAAGAAAAAAAGATTTTGTAAAAAATTGGGGGGAGTTTTTTTTTTTCTTCATTATTCCTTTTCTTGTTCCCGTTCGGCATGTGGAGTTCTGTTTTAACATAGATGGTCGGCATTTGGAAAAGAGAAAAAAAAAAGGAGAGAAAAGAAAGAGAAACAGAGTTGTGTTTTTTTTTTTTTTTGCATAAAAGGGATTGGCGAATGAAAGCATACTTGTTATTGAAGTTGATGATTAGATTCATGGAGAAGAAAGAAATGTGATTGAAGATGCTCAAAACAGTGCAATGGTAGCGATACCAGGCAGCACGTACTTGTACGATTACAAAGATGCTCAATAGCTGTCAGCTGCACATGATGAAAGAGTGCTACTTGGAATTGCACTGCCAGTACGTGTACTAGAGTCTAGAGTCTAGCATCAGCTGTGATGATGATGGAAGAATCTCCTACCTCGGCAATATATTCGCCCTCGATCTAATCGTCTAGTCTCGTACCTCTTCATCTGGGGTCCGATGATGTCCGATGATGTCAGATCTGAAAGCGGGGCATCGATATTTGGTGCTTAATTTCTCCTTGGTTTCAACTTCCGAATCATGATACGAGATTGATCACACCGTCATCATCCGGTACATGACGACCCTTCTTCCCATTCCGTTTTCTTCTTCTTCTTTTTCCTCTTCTCCTTTCTCAAGAAGAAACTTTTTTTTTTTTTTTTCTTGGAGAGAGAGAGAGAGATCCGGTATCCCATAATGGCTGATTCTCCAGAGCAAAGCCTTCCCAAGATTAAGCTGTACTGGTAAGGAAATTCTGAGCTTCAAGGGACAACATGTCAATCTGGATGTTTTTTTGTTTTTTTTTTTCGCTGGGGGGGGGGGGGGGATTGAAAAAGGAAGAAAAAAAAAGAAGAAGAAAGAGTCAATGGCTGACAACGCACAACAGGCTTAACCAATCTCGATCTCAGAGAATCGTATGGCTCCTGGAAGAACTGCAAGTACCCTACGAGATCGAAGTATTCCACCGGACAAAGGAGATGCTCGCCCCCCCCGAGCTAGCCAAGATCCACCCCCTGGGCAAGTCCCCCGTCATCTCCATCACCCCTCCTCAGGGAGGGGAGCCGGTCGTCCTGGCCGAGAGCGGCTTCATGACGCAGTACCTGTGCGAGCACCTCCCCGGGGGCAAGAGGCTGATACCCCCGCGCTGGAAGGCGGGTCAGGAGGACCAGGTCGGTGGTGAGACCGAGGCCTATCTCCGGTACCAGTACTACCTCCACTACTGCGAGGGGAGCCTTATGCCTCTTCTCGTCATGACCATAATCATCTCTCGTGAGTCTTTCTCAACCGATCCTCTCCCTCTCCCCCTCAAATCTCCGCCCAGCATTGACCAGAGAGGGGGGGAAACGACGACGACAACATAGGCCTCCAATCCCCCAATGTCCCCTTCTTCATCCGCCCCATCACCTCGGCCGCCGCCGGCCGCATCTTCTCGGCCTACATCTACCCCAACCTGCGCAGGCACCTCGCCATGCTGGAGGATCAGCTGGCCACCTCGCCCGACGGGGGGGTGTACCTCTGCGGCAGGGATCTCACCGCCGCCGACATCCTCATGAGCTTCCCCCTCATCGCGTCAAAGGGCCGTCTGCGGCAGGTCGGTCCCTGGGAAGGCGGCTGCTGGACAGATGAGTTTCCTCGCCTCGGCGCCTACACTGCCATGCTCGAGAAGCATGAGGGCTACGTCGGGAGTGTGCGCAAGATTGAGGAGGTCGACGGCGAGTTTACCCCGACGCTGTGAGCCTGCGAGCCCTCCGAGGCGTACCGTTCCTTACTCTCTACTGCTCTCTCCCGCCCACCGAGGTGATGCGGTATATACGAGAAGGAAGTAAAGATGGAGACACGTGTCATATCGGAAGAGGATAGTATATGCCATAGTTAATAGACTATAGAACACGACGATGGATGTTTCCGGATTTACTACATACTTTGGCCATACTAAGCCTAGTAGAGTATCGGTGAGTACTTTTCGCCATCCTGGACTGTACAATGGCTGTTGCTGTAGCTCGGGTGCTTCATCACTACCTCTCCCTCTCTCTCCCTCTCTCTCTCTCTCTCGGCCGTCAAGAGTCAGAAGAGCACGGTGGAAGTACTCTCGTATGCCATCATCTGCCGTGCTCTCCACCTAGCGCACCGAACAGCATAGCCGGCTTCATGCTTTGGGAAGTTTGTCTTTATAATGTCAAAGCATCATACAATATAATCCAAATCATCACCACGTACTCCCACATACGACCATAGCCAGTGGAGAATACGGGGTCCCGTCCGCTCCCCCAGAGTCAAGCCGCTGAGCGGTGGATTAGTAGTTGGGTCGGTGACGACCAGCGAATACCCGCTGTTGTATGTTGCTTTTTTGTCATTTTTGTCGTTTGTTCATTGTTCCTCTGCGTTTGCCGCAGGAAAAGACGAAAGTGGTGATTGTCCTATTTGTGTGATAGCTTGCGTGTATGTAGGAGCCCTATGTTGATATTGAAGATAACTCTCTACTCGCCCCGTTTTTTTTCCGGAGGTATTTCTGGACCTCTATATTCCACCCTCTCATGCGATTACTCGCCTCGTCCCCGATGGCCAGCCCCTCGCGTTCTAGGTACTGTGTATAGTGCTCCGAAAGATTGTAGTAGTCGTCCGACCTGCGCGTGCCGAGTCTGGCTTGACCCCAGTTCGACCGCCGCTTCCCTCTCTATCCTATTCCCATGCAGTATAGGGAAGATAGAGCGGCAGAGAGACATATACCGAGCTCGACAGCTCGCGCAAAAAAAAAAAAAAAATATGGAACATGGCCCATCTCATATGCAGCGATCCTCTCCCCTGCTCGTCGAGCCTCCAGTCGTTCCCACAAAGCTTCCCGGCAACCCTGAGATCTCTTCCCTTCAGCAAGAACGCAACAGAACTCGGCTAGCATAGTCTCTTTCGTAGGCCCGTAGGGACGTGAGACTGACTCTTGCGCCATGTCTGGATCGTGGCCCGTGACCCACGATGGTGGGTCGTTGAGTAGGAGGGAACCCCCAGTGTAGAGCTTGAGCTGCCGTAGCTGAGCCATGAATTCGACGAGATCGGTGAACAGGTTATTACGCTGGGCTGCCGATGCCTCCGAGAAGAATGCGTTGTTATCGAGCTGCTATCCACGAATGACACTCATAACGATCAAGGGCGTTTTCGCGTTCGGAAGAAGGGAGCCGTCCGTGCCATACGCCAAGATCCGAGATGTAGGAATAGCGGTGTTGCGCTCAATGTGTCCACCACCATATCAGCTGTTAAAGGAAAGAAGTTATAGGGAAGACCGTACCGCATCGTTGCAACCTCACTTTGCATCTTTTCCCGTGGGGAAGTGGTGACAGGGGCGATAGGGATCCGGACGATATACTCCAACCCATCGTTGTCTAGCCGCATGAAAAAGCCGACATTGAATCAGCCGTGCAACTCCTTTACGATACTCCAAGCTCTGACGTCCGGTGCGTCTCGTCATCAGACTAGAGATCGCATCCCTATCCACTCCATTCAAGAATTGGGAAATAGAGTCGCTGCCCTGCTCTTTCGTGGCTCTGCCGGCTGATATGTGTGTATCGGTTGCTGTTCTTGTCTATGCTCGAAGGGATGGATCCGACGTTACGATAGTTGGATCTTGCTTACCTAATCTATGGATGAAATGCACGGTAAAATCATGACACTATCTCTAGCTAAGAAGTCGCTTTTGAAGCTGCAAAAAAAAGGGTAGAGAATTGAGGAATGCCATCAGAAGGCTAGGACCGCTTACAATCTATAAAACGGGCTATTCTATGCGGGATTGATAGCGGGGATAGATAGATGAATAGAATGGTAAAAATCCTACTCGCGATGGTGATCTGCTCGCGATGGTGACTAGCACCACCTGTAGTGGTTTGAGGTTAGCCGAGTGGCCAATAAAGTGGGACGGGGCACAAGCAAGCATTGGTATGCAACGATCGAAGTGGTAGAAGACAGTAGTATTATTATTATTTTTTTTTTTTACTCGATGTGTGTTCCTGTCACGTTCTTCTTATTGTTTTTCTATGAGAAATAGTGTCTAGGAACGTATTTCAAGGGATTGATTCGTCCATAACTCAACACCAAGACCCTCATTCAGCTCCAGACCACGCCACATGCGCTTCCCTTCTGGTGAGGCTTCACGAGTGACGTACTTGTCTAATAGAGGAGTGGAGTGGACTTTCCTCGAGTGGACCGACAGCTCCAACTTTCCCCATTGGCTCCCCGCATGTATCGCGGTATAAGAATACGGGAAACCTGGAGAAATCGCAATATCCGCTATCACCACTCCTCAGATCACCACGTCCGCCTCACTCATTCTCATCACGGTTTTCTACTTGCGTTATCCTGATCTTCACCCCTCCCTCCTCGTCTGACCATCCGATTCCCCGCAGGAATAGCATGCGGCGAGCGTAAATGTCAGCATCACGTTCCGTTTGCGCCGCCAGGGCATTGCGTCCCTTGGGGAGGGCTGCCGTCGCCCGCTCCGTCGTCGCATGCTACTCGTCCATGAGTGAGACGCTAGCAGAGGGCGGCGCATCATCGACACCGTATCCTACCAGGAATTTCGGGAAACAGTCACAGACAGGCCGCCAGACGGCACATCGTCCATCCCGTCGAGGTGGCCCCAGGCCAGGCGATGAGGACGCCCTGGCCGTCTTCAACGACGTGGTCGGCAAGGAACACCCTGGAGAAGCGCACCCCGAATCCGATGGAATCGCTCTCTCCGCATGGGAATTGACAGCCAAGATCAACGAGCTACGCCACCTCAAGGCTCCTGCCGCTCAGAGATTGCAGACATTTGAGACAGACATATGGCCGCGGATACGCGAGATGGGAACTCCGTTACCCCGGCACGTCTACATGGCCGCCGGCCAGCTTCTCAAGGGCTTATGCGAGGCCCTGCAGCGGACAAACGGACTCAATGGACCCGTGGGGCCCCTCTTGTTCGCCATCTACGACTCCTTGGGCAAGTACGACTTGGCCGTGAGGACGGGCATCATTCTCAACTCCTGTCTCGCCATTGCCAGAGAGAGGGACGCGTCTGCTCGCCAAGCCATGTGCCATGACCTTGTTACCATGTGGCAGTCCGTCTCGCAGATGACACGGCCTACGCAAAGGGGTATGCCGCCGCAATGGGCCCTCCCAGACAGCGACCACGTCTCCGAGCTGCTCCGGGACGCGCGGTCGGGTCCACCGGGCTCGCGCAACAATACCAACGCGGCCGTGAGTGCTATCCTTAATCAGTTCCCCGCCAGTGAAGCGCGCAAGGCTGTGCCCGGGCTGCTGGCCACCCTAGCCATCTGCGCCGACCACCGACTAGTCAGTAACGACGTGCTCAGGGAGCTTGCGCCGCTCCTCGACCTCTCGCGTCTCGCGCTCCTTCAGTGCAGCATGGATGATGCGTTTGTCGACCAGGCCCTCAACACCAAGAGTGTAGACCTCGTGGGCAGACGCCGTCCCCAGCTGGAGAGGCTGCTGCACCAGGGCTGGCCGAGGATCGTCAAGCTTCTCGGCGACCCAAAAATCTGGCACGAGGGCCGCGTACCCACAGCCAACAACAAGAATAGCCACAACCCGGCCCGAGAGTCGGTGTCATCCCTGGCGCATATCCACAAGCAGGCGCGCTCCGCGCTAGCGACAGACAACACGGGGGCTATCGTGTCCATCTGGCGCAAACTTCGTGCGTCGCAGGAGGCCAGCGAGTCGCGGTCGTCAGAGATGCGCGACGACGGCGAGTTCATGGATTTCTGGCACTTTGTGTGGTGCGCGCAGCGGCGACCCGACCTCCTGCGCGAGACGCAGGATGTCATGAACAGTATCGGGCTCAGGCCGACCATAAAGACGTACACGGCCATGATGCACGGGTGGAAGCTGTCGCGGGATGCGGGCAAGATTGACGCCATGTGGGATATGCTCATCGCCTCGTCCGTCAGGCTGGACACGCACTCGTGGACGGAGCGCATCTCGGGTCTGATTGAGCTGGGCCAGGTGCAGAAGGGCATCGATACGCTCGGTGACATGATGGAAAGGTGGAAGAAGGCCAGCAGCAGCAGCCACTTCCATGGACCAGCGACCGCCGACGACCTCGAAGGACACGATCTCACTGCCCCCCCGGCTGCCGTTCAGCCCACCATACAAGTTGTCAACGCTGCCTTCAAGCCTCTGATGCGCAAGGACAAGCAGACGGCATACGCGGTGCTCAAGTGGGCGGGCCAGGAAGGCATCAAGCCCGACGTGCTGACGTACAACATCCTCCTCCGAGAGTGCTTCCGCGACGCCGGCACGGGAGATGATGTGCAGGAGCTCCTCAAAAGCATGAAGGATGAAGGGATCGAGCCCGACGCCGCCACCTTTACCATCCTGCTCGACGAGGTGCTAGGAAACCTGGGCCAGGCATCACCTGCAGAGCAGGTGGCGGCGATTGACCAGATCATGGCCGACATAAAGGCCGCCGACGTGACGCCCAACCTCGAGACGTACGGAAAGATGCTCCACGCCGTGGCGTCTCTGCCCTCGGGCTCCGCGGCGGCGGCCATCGAGTCGGTTCTGGGCCATATGCGCTCTACGGGCCACCGCCAGATATCGCCGCACATGGCCCTCATCCTGGTGAGCCGGCATCTCAAGGACCCGCATCCCTCATCGACGGGCATCAGGGCCCTGCTGCAACACCACGGCTTTGCGACGGTGCAGTCGGGGGATCAGCGACTGTGGGAGCACGTCATGAGCGCGTATGCCGGGTTGGGCGACACGGCTAGCGCGATGGGCCTGTACCACGACCTCAAACGGCACGGGCGCCCCGTTACTCGCCTGTTCTCGCTGCGCGATCTGCTTGTCGCGCTCATCGAGAAGGAAGAATGGGAGGATGCCCGCCTCGTGGTGGATAACGCACTTACTGAGTTGGCTGGGGAGACCGATGTCCGCGACAGGGGGTGGCGCCATCACTTCTGGCACAGCGCGTACAGGTATGGACTGTTTGACTGGGATACGGCACCGGCTGGTGTCAAGCGTGTCGTGGATGAGCAGCGGTTTTTGGCGGATGTGCAGGAGAGAAGGTAATTTGCTTTGTTATACCCTTTTATGTAGAACAGTGTACCATGCTTGTTTCTGTATCGGCAAGCCTCTCCCCCTCTTTCTTCTTACATAGACATAGTAACTAGAAGACACACGAAAGTTCGAAATAGATTTCTTGGCCTGGACCCCCAAGACCAAATATATACATGATGACGCCGACGCTGGTGGGTATACCAAATGAATATGGACTGAAAGAAAAACCCCTCCCCCCGCAAAATTTTAAAACTCAAGATTCGCCTCTGACTTCATCATCGTTGTCACCGTCGTCATCACCGTGATCATCACCGTGATCATCAGGTGGTAGCCTGGCAGTCTGACCCAAAAGACCGGCAGCCTTCTCGAGGCCCTCGACATCGTCACGGGCCAGATTCCTCCCCCTACCCTGGTAATCGCCGTCACGCACCTCACCCTGTGGGCCGAGTTCGAGACCGGAAATTTTCTCGAGGTACTTGCGGGACGAATGCTCGACGTACTCTGCGCGCTGGCGCCTCCACGACGAGGGGTTGTCGGTAGACAGAGAAGCGGCGGTGAGCTCGGGCATCAGGTCGCGCAAGGAGGCGGACAGGGCGCGCAGCGAGGTCAGCTGGGACAGGGTGAACTCGGCCGTGGTGGTGATCGGAGTGGCGGAGCCGACGGACGACAGGGTGGAGGGGCCGTCGTTGAGGAAGGCGAGGGGGCCGGGCGGCGGCGGCGACTCGACAGCCTCGGTCTTGATGGTGGGCGGCGCATTGGCACCGACCACGCGGCGCAAGGAGGCGAGGAGAGCGTCGTTGCGGGCCTTTTCGCGCTGCAGAGACAGGCCGAGACGCTGCGAGGCCTCGACCCTGCGAAGGAGCGCGGTGACGCCCTCGAGGGAGTCCCCGTCCTGCTGGTCGTCCCCCGAGAGGTCGAGATCCTTATAGTGCGCGAGGCGCACGTGCGGCCGCAGGTCGACGGGCTGCACCGTCAGGATGTTCTGCATGGCGTACAGCTCCAGCTTGTCAAAGTTGCGGTCGATGGCGGCCGTCAGGAGCGTCTCGAGCTTGTGCGTGCCCGACTCGATCTCGCGACGGGCCGCATCCTCGGGCTTTTCATCCTCGCTGCTCCCAGCGCCGCCCGCGCCGCCGCCAGACGGAGCGTCCTTTTTGGACGACGGTTTACGGAAGCCGAGTTTCGACGGCGGGATAGACAGGAGGAGCTGCTCTACCGAGTCGAGGGCGCGGTCAGCTAGCACGTTGACGGTGTTGATGATGTCGTCTAATAGGGCCTTGAGAGGCGTCAGTGTCTACCACGATGGACTAGAGAGACGGAGAGGAGAGAGCTGCGGGGGTGGGGGAGGGGGGGGGACATACTACAGGGGGATAGCCCAGATGCTCGGTTATGAGCTCGTAGTCGGAGTCGGGTTGGGCCATGACGGATGCGACGCGACGAGACGCGTCACGAGAGGATATGTACTTGTGGATTCGGCGTGTGCGCACAAGAGGTGGACGGAAGCACCCCTCAATCGAGCCAAGGAGAAACAGAAAGAAATCTTGTGTGTACAGCAGAGAAAGGTCTCGTCGAATTGGACAGGGCATGTGTTTCATATGAAGAACTACAAGACGACGACGTAATTTGGGCCTGGCCAACTGACAAGGAGGGAGGGGCCGGCCTTAGTAGGCTGGCTCCTCCTCTCTATCCTCCTCGTCCCGCTCCCCCACCAAAACCCCAAAATTTGTACTCATACATATGCACCCATTACGAGCGCTACAGCCAATATTTACTAAGTCTCTCTCCTACAACCATCACCGCCGCCGCCGCCGACTCTCATAAACAAAAACGAGAGAGAGAAACGATTGTCATCATGTCTAAATACAAGGACATGGCCAAGGCCAAATGGCAAGAGAAGCCTGGTGGAAGCCTCCGCGGCCACGTAGTATGCTTCCTTTACTTTCCATTGATTTCTCATCCACCACCTGCTAACATGTAGTCTCTCAGAGCAGCCTCGCGGGTCGTGTCAAGCCCGACAACAGCGCCGCAAACAACCACGTGGCCCGTCCCATTTCCGAGCTGCGTGACCCGTCTAGCTTTGCCCCTCCGCCGAAACGTACCGGGTCGGGACTCGCGCCGGCACCGGCGCCCACAGAAACCGGCAAGCGGAAGACGGTCCCCTCGCCGTCGAAGTACCAGGATCCTCGCACGGGCCAGTCCTTGGCCCTATACGGGAGCACAGACGGGATCCGAGAGGAAGAGCACGAGCATGAGAGCGAGCAGCAGGGACAGGCGGCACCGCGTCCGTACCGCGTCAACACTACTGGCCTGTCGACGGACCACCTGCCTCCTCCGCCGGGGAGAAGAGACGGCACGGGCGGTGATGCCGCTGCCGGTGCAGGCGGACTGCAGGCCATCGAGGCAGCCCCACCGCCAGCCTACGAGACCGCCGCGGCGGGGAGACCCAGTCTGCCGCCGCGCCTGCCACCCCGCACAAACACCGGCACGGCAGCCTCATCCATGGCCGAGTCGCCGTCAGCAGACAGCAGCAGCCGGTACCTCAACCAGGAGGCCATCAGCCGTCTCGGCTCAGCAGGCGTATCAGTCCCCGGGCTAGGCATCGGATCACAGAAACAGACGACGGCGACGGCGACAGCGACAGCGACAGCGACTCCGCCGCCCCCTCCGCCTCGTCGACCGTCTAACCAGCCTCAGGGGCAGGTCAACGAGCTTCAGAACCGCCTCGCGCGCTATGGCATCTCCAGTTCTAATGCTACTCCTCAAGTCCAGCAAGAGCAGCAGCAGCAGCCACAGCCGGCCCAGGAGCAGGAGCAGGGTCAGCTGTCAGGTGGCACGACGTGGGCGCAGAAGCAGGCCGCCCTGCGCACGGCCTCGTCGTTCAACAAGGACCCATCCTCCGTGTCCGTGTCGGACGCCCGCACAGCCGCCGGCACGGTAAACAACTTCCGTCAGCGTCACGGTCACCAGGTCGCTGCTGGTGCCAAGAGTATCAGCAACTTGAATCAGAAATACGGCCTGTCCGACAAGGTAGGAGGGCTCATGGGCTCCAAAGACCACCAGCAACACCAGCAGCAGCAACACCAGCAGCAGCAACACCAGCAGCAGCAACAAATGCAAGCACCAGCTCTGTCAGGGATGTTGTCTGCCGCGGCAGGCAAGAAGAAGCCTCCGCCTCCGCCTCCCAAGAAAGCGTCGCTAGGTGGCATCTCCGCAGGAACTTCGAGGACGACGTCTTATGCTTCTACACCCTCGGCCGATGATCAACCTCCACCCGTGCCTATGTCTACAAAGCCGGCTTTTTAAGTAGATCTTACCTTCGCCATGCCAGACTAAGAAGGGGGGGGGGGGGGGGGGGGTAAGCTTCTTGGCATCTGAAATTTGTACATACACGCACAGTCGCACAGTTATCAGGCATAGACAATAAACTACACACCGAACGACTTTGACACAAAGGAAAATTCAATTGCGTGGCAGACAGAGCGACCACTAGTGGGCTAAATAAATTTCCTAAAAACCTTGTACTGAATTCTTTCTTTTTTTTTCTTTTGCCTCGTATCATCATGATTGTGAGTACTTCATCTCGTGTTTTTTTGCTCCGTAGCAAAGAAGTTCTTTGCTGATGCCAAATCGCCAGATTTCAGTCATCAGGCTTCCATCCCTTGATATCTAAGGGTTGCGCTTAGACCTTCATCTCGGTGAGACCGTGCTTCCAGAAGACGATGTAGGGGGTGACACCATCCTCGCGGTAGTTGAGAAGGGCAATCCTATGGCAAGGGCCGTTAGCAAATAACTCTAAAGGGTACGGGGGTATCTTTTGTGCGTTCTTCTTTTGGTGCTTGTTCCGTCGGAGATATACGTACATGCCATCAGGGTCCTGGGACTCGCCAGTGTAGAACTCAAGATCCTTGAAGTTAGGGAGAAGCTTCTCCTTGACGTAGGCCTGGGCGCCCTTCTCGAAGGCGGTGATGGTCTCGGCGGGAGCGTTCTTCTCCTGGAGCTTGGTCTTGACAGACTTCATGTAGCCTAGAGGAAGGTGTTAATTTATAGGAGCTCTGCTTCACGTCTTTGTTGTTTTGTATAGATTTTGTCTACATACCCTTGAGGTAGGTGAGGTAGGACTTCTTGTCGAAGGCGGTGGACTGGAGGCGGAAAGAGTAGACGACGTTGTTGACAACCTGCGCGGAGTCCTCGACACCCTCCTCAGCCTCCTCAGCGGAAGCGTTGGCACCAATGTCTAAACGAAGATGGAGTTAGCATACATGCCCATTTCGAGATGCTTGTCTCCTCTATCTTCTGCCCGGTTGCGATACGTAGGCGGGGTTGGATTGTAGGACGTTGTCCAAGGAATGACATCGAGGGGGTTGACTGACCGACTTCGACGCCACCCTCCTTGATCATGGCACAGTCTGCCTCGTAGACGATACCGTCGATCTCCTTGAGATCATAGGAGTCCGAGATCATCTCGTCACCGGTGATAATGTCCTGGTGGCATCATTTTAGTCAAAAACATCATCCTTTAGTTGTGCAGTGGCACGGGCAAGGGCAGGGAGGAGCAAAAAATGAAAGGTAAAAAAAAAAAAAAGTGTAAGAGGGGCAACAGCAACGCGCGCCGCCCCCGCGCAAAGTACTATGATGGAGATTTTCGTAGGAGACACGAAGGAAAGGAGGGCCACAAGTATTGGATGTATCGTACCTTGAAGATAATCATATTGGCGGTTGTGTCGGGACGTGACTAACAGAAAAACCTGAGGAGCAAGAGGGAAAATCTAGAGATGGAGGGGTCGAGGTTGAAAATTGGCAAAGCAGGCGGGCAAAAATTCAAGAGGGAAGGAAGGGTGAGGGGGGCAACGTCCTTGTCTCTTGGCTGGGTTGGTGGGGGTTTAGGCGCTAAACTGTAATGGGTAGTGCCCCTCTGCAAAAACCTTGGTGGTCGTGGGCAATTTAATGGTAATCAATTGGTTTACCTTTTTTTTTTTCTCTTCCCCGATGGGTGAGGAGACTAGTAAAGACGGAAAAGAAAAAAATAGAAGACATTAAAGTAAAAATGAAGACTATGAGTACTACTAGCTACTCATACAAGTACTCGGGAAGCAGTTAAAGAACGTCTCGTTAAGTACTTGCAGCGATGAAGAGGGGTCTTGGACCCTTCCTCTCTGATATCTAAATGGTTGTACGGCAACGGGTAGAGGGGAGCAGGCCAACCATGCACAGCACACAGACAGGAGGAGCTCTGATGAAGAAATTATACTGGATGTATACACAACCATGCACACAATATAAATTGTAGTCATAGTTCACGGTTCAAGAGCCGACAAGTTTATCAAATAGCTCTGCCGAGGGGAGGAAAGTGTTCGAGGATGCTCTCCACGAGTTCGTGTAGCTTTGCCTGTCAGGCCGACGTGGTATGGCTGACCACGGTTGATGGGGCTGATATTGACTGGTGTGGCTGGTAATAATATCCATATGGCGTGGCTAGTGGCGGCGCGCATGGCGCTGCACGAGGACTCGTTACAGTGACCGGTGCAATACATTGGAGCATGGAGGTTGCATTTGCTGTGGCGTCACCTTTCGGTGGCACCATTCATAGATCACGGCACTGCGGTCCTGCACTAAAGGCTGAAAAACACATGGTTTCCCCCCTGAAAGCGCCTGAAAGTCGGCCAAGATGATGACGCCAGGTCGTGCCATCCCGTGGATGCACATGCCCATGCAATGTGGGATTCATCGAGGATTCATTATTTGTGTTAGGCTCAATAATAACTCTAGATCTACGCCAAGCATATTAGGAATCAGGACCTACAGTATTACGGGGACATGAATGATGATGTTCACCGAGGGGCAACATGCTCGGAGCCCCGAGAACGGGGGTTGCCATTGGGCTGTAAAGTAATATTACTCCGTACATGTACAGATTAATGAGTACAAGATTCCAGGTAATGGACTCGTGGAGTAGAATGGACCCGATGCCGCGCCGCTTTCGATGCGTCAACGGCTGTCCAGGTAGTCGTAGGAAGTTTGGTGGTGTACGAGTACTTCTACAACTACTACACTACCTGTGCAGACTACGAGTACAGTAGCAGTACGTATTCTCGTACTCAGTGAGCCAGTCCTCGACTCCCTCGTACGCTGCCAGAACCGGAGATGAACCAAGACTCGCATGGACCAATGCGCTGTAGCGCCCAATAATTAACTGGAGACTTTTCCCTGAGCCATCAGATTATCAGCAGACCCGGACTCCCAGTCTTCCGCGTGCCGCCTCCCGCACTCTGGGCCAATACTCGCTACCTTCAACTTTCCTACCATGCTCTTTCTTCTTTCTATGCACACACATACAAACGCCCTACTCTCCTTTTACTAATGCTTTGATTTTTTTTCCCTCTCCTTTTCTCTTCTCCTCCTTCTTCATCTCGTCACCTTTATTGACCGAGCTAATTGTCGCCCTCCCAAAGCCATCCGAAAACAGTCGTCTCCCATATTGTATCCCCCTTACCCAGTCGCTCCTTCTTCATTTTCATTTTTGTCCCTCCTGCCCCCCCTTTGGACCTTTTGAGACCCACGCCTTCCTTTTCTTCGCGTTACCAAACATCACACCACAACTCCAACACCAACTTTTTCTCTTTAAAATCCTCTTTCCCCCCCTCCGAGGGCTCGCAAACTACGATATTTTTGCTGTTATATAATACCGACCTCCGCATCTTTCTCGCGGTAGTCCACACGCGATCTGCTACTCATAGCATGGCCAACTCTTCGGCCGCCGTCGGCCTAGAAGCCATGACGCCCGCCAACCACTCCCTCTTCGACACTAGTCTCCCACCTCTCCCCGAATACACTTTGACTCCTCAGGGCGATATCTTACCCTTCATCTCGGACTTTTGGCTCAACCTTCTGTCGCCTGTCGTCGTTTACTGGGTCGTTTCCATCTTTTTCCACATGATAGACGTCTACGACCTCTTCCCCCAGTACCGCCTTCACACCCCCGAGGAGATTACGCGACGGAACCACGTCTCGCGCTACCAGGTTGCTCGCGACGTCATCATCCAGCAGGTCATCCAGGTTAGCACCGGTGCCCTTCTCGCCCTGACCGAGCCTCCCGAGATGACTGGCAAGGATGCCTATAATGTCGCCGTCTGGGCTACCCGCCTCCGTCTCCTCCAGCGCGCCCTCCCCGGCTTCCTCAGCCTTCTCGGTCTCAACGCCACTGCCGTCTCCAAGAACCTCGCCGCCTCGCATCCCTTCCTCGCCGGTGCGCTCGCCGGGGGCTACTACCCGTTCCTCTCAGCCTCGTCCGGTGCTTCCGATGTGCCCGCCTTTGCTCCTTGGGAGATGGCCGCCGCTAGCTTCATCTACCATATCGCCATCCCGGGCATTCAGTTCTTCGTCGCCATCTTCTTCCTCGACTCTTGGCAGTACTTCCTCCATCGTCTCATGCACATGAACAAGTGGATGTACAGTACGTCTTCCTCCCTTCTGTCCTCACGCCCCTCTCTCCTGTGCGCAGTGATAGTATGTGATTGTTTCTGTCACTGACGCAAAGGACCCTTCAACAGCTACCTTCCACTCACGCCACCACCGTCTGTACGTTCCCTACGCGTACGGTGCCCTTTACAACCATCCCTTTGAGGGCTTCCTGCTCGACACCCTCGGTGCCAGCATCGCCTTCAAGGTCTCCTTCATGACGCTTCGTCAGGGAATCGTCTTCTTCGTCGTCTCCTCGATCAAAACTGTCGACGACCATTGCGGATACGCCTTCCCTTGGGACCCTCTCCAGCTCATTACCAACAACAACGCTGAGTACCACGACATTCACCATCAGAATTGGGGCATCAAGACCAATTTCTCTCAGCCCTTCTTCACCTTCTGGGACCGCGTCCTTGGCACAATGTACAAGGGCACGCGTACCAACCGCGTCCACGCAGCCAAGAAGGAGTCTGAGACCGGGAAGAAGGCTCAATAAATGGCGCACATGATGAAGACGGGGAAAACAAAAAACACGGCCGAAAAAAATCTTTTTTTTTCGAGGTACTCTGCATACATTTTCAAAACAAGCGATGAAACCACGATTTCTCTTTTTTTTCTTTTTTCCTCTCATTTTTATTCTACACGACGTCACCTTGTTTATTATTATTTATTTTTTCTTTCCACTTCCTTCAAAACAATGGGTTTCTGTCCCTCAGGGATAGACACCCACCAGATGTACAACACTTTTCGTGTTTCTTTTTTTTTGGGGAGACAAACGTTTCCCATTTCCTTTTTCTTTTTTCCTTATCTGGTTGATGTCTAGCACTTGTTGAAGGGGAGTCTTTTTTCAGGAAACAACCGCATCACTTAATAATTCAGGGGAACGCTTTGGTCGTGAACGAGGTCTCGTCATTCAGATAGAGGCTTCTCCCCCCCCTTTTCTTTTCCCTTTCCTTGTTCGTCTTTTGTATACGTGGTGGTTATAATGCGGAGAGAACTGTAATCCCTTTGTGAAAAGAAATAAAAAGGGGTGTATTATCTGTCGTTATCAATCAGAGAACGGGATGGCTCGTGGAGCGAGCTATGTTGTGCTATCTTTGCTATGCTTTATTTTCTTTTGCACGATAATACAGATGCTTACTGCGTTGCTGTCTATTCGTAATACATGGTGTTTTGATCCTTTATATTCCTACCATGAGTACTATTACTAGTATTTACCCTCTATGACGGTATACCAGTAGTAGCAATGCTAGCAGAACGTGCCTGATAAGTCACATGATGGTCAAGGGAATGGGAAACAATATCAATACGATCGATGGATGTAGATTACAGTCATACCCTGAAACAAACAAAACTATGAGGGCAGGGCCAAATACCCCAACCCGAGTTGAGAACCCCCAAGTCTTGTTCCCCTTTCCGAAACGCCAGAACGCACACTTTTTTTTCTGTTTCTTCTTTACACGACAAGAGGACTTCAACCGGTTTTGGACTTCTTCTTGGGCCGCTCCTCTTCTTCCTCCTCCTCCTCATCATCGTCCTCGTCGACGGCGTCATCGTCGTCGTCGCCGCCGTCGGACGCGTCCTCGTCGTCACTGCCTCCGGAACTCTCGTGGGCACTGTCGAATTCCTCGGCAACGTCGCTGTCACTGTCGGTCTGGAAGTCCTCGTCGACGCTCTCCTCGTCCTCGTCGGCGGAGCCACGGTCGGCGTGGGCATTGACGACGTCGTCGTCCGAATCATCCATCTGGTCGTCTCCGTCGCGCAGGGCCGTGGCGAGGAGCTTGGCGTCCTCGTCAATCTCGTTCTTGACGCGCAGGCCCTTGAGCTTGAAGAAGGCCTCGAGGGACTTGAGGTCCTCTCGCGAGATGTTGCTGAACTGCGAGGAGCCGGCTCCGCCCTTGAGGGCGACAGTGATGTCAAAGGTCGACAGGGCTGACACGGCGCCGCTGACGCGAGAGAAGGTGATGCTCTGCGTCTGCTCATAGGCAATGTACGTGGCCGGCTTGGGCACGAACATAAAGGCCTTTTCGAGACAGTACAGGAATCCTTCGCTTGCCTTGATGGAGCACTTGATGCCGTATTGGTTGCGGTGGCTAGGTTCTGTCAGTAAGCTTTCTTCTCTTTTTCTCTCGGGTTCTCCGCTTTGGGTTTCGAGGGCAGTGCGTAAACATACGTTAGGAAGTCCTTGGCTGGAGAAGAAATCTTCTTGTTGGCAAGGCCACGGAAGATCTTGGCCATGACGTGGTGCAAGGGTTCCTCGTAGTGAGGCTCCAGCTTGTCCTGGTACCTTCTGCGCAGCTCCTCCTCCTCGAAGTTGAGGTCGATGGTGACCTCCTCGTCCTTCTTGAACTGCATCACGACAAAGGGGTAGCGCGTCTGGCCCTGGCGTAGCGGCGGGTCGAGGCCTATGCACAGTAGATAATGCATCTCGTCGGGCTTGGGCAGCACCATGAACTTCTTGATGGCTTCGTACTGGATCTTGTAGTCGTACGTCTTACCGCGCAGGCGGAATGACGACTCGTACATGTCGATATCAAAACGGCCTCTGCAGGTGTTCGTGGTCAGTACTCAGTAGATGGCATCCGGATGAGCCAACAGAGGGATCAACTCACCTGGGTGTGAGATGCAGGACGTCGAGGAATGTGGCAATGGCATCACCGGCCGAGTCGCCAATGTCGGCCTTCTCCATGAGCGTGTCGTAAAACATGGTGGCAGCACTCTTCTCCTGCTCCTCTTCACCTGCGTCGCTGCCGGCATCATCACCGTCGGCCTCTTTCTTCGTCGTCGTCATGCCGGGGATGTAGAATCGCATCTCGACGAGCTGGTCCTTGCCGCCGCCAGCCTTCTTGCCGCCGGTTCTAGCGCCGCCAAGGTGGCCATTTGCGTTTACGTCCTCGGGGCGGAGGGGCAAGGCCATCTCGACGGCCACTTCATTGCGACCGGCCAAGTTGGTGTTGCCGATCTCGGTGTAGGGAATCTCGAATGCCGGCCTGTTCTGGACGTTGAAGGTGAGCTCGGCCTTGGAGAACTCGGCCTTGCCCCAGTTCCATCCGCGCAGGGCGTGCTCCTTGTTGTCGAGCGGGGTGCTGTACCAGTTCTTGAAGACCTTGCTAAGGCGGTCATAGTCGTCCTGCTGGAAACCGTCGAGCTGTATGATGGCCGACGAGTTGCGCTGTAGAATGCGCACCTCGTACCCCTTGGCTGCGCGGGACCAGTGCGCTCCGCCAATGTTGCTATGATCGAGGGTGAAGGTTTCGCCGCCGCTCGTCGGTTTCCATCCGAACCCCGTCTCGGCGAACCTGCACTTGCCACTCTGCTTGGAGAGGTCTAGGTAGATGTTGTCGAAGCTCTCGCTACGTCGTGATGGGAGCGCAACATGCGCAAGCTCGTTAGTCTCCTCGTCTCGTCGTCGTGCCATGCGCTGGGCCATCTTCGAAGCAAAGGGGACGGCCATGCATCTCGTCAGAAGAGAGCATGCATTGCTGTTGTACTTACATTGCGGCCATCTTGGGTGAAGAACGAAGATAGGCCTAGAGTGAGTTGATAGGAAAAGGGGACGAGCGAGGTTGAAGTGATAGGACTTGTTCAGTGTCCGTGTAACTAGCAGCACACGAAATTTGAGCTTCACGGTAGAGGCGCACGCGCTGGGAGAAGGGAAAGCGCGCCTCTAACGTGTGGCAACCATTAGGCGGTATTGTGCTGGGAGTGGCTGTAGCAACCTGTTCTGCTTAGGTACTGCTGTAGACGACAGCTCCAAGGCATCGCTGGTGGGTGATTCTAGGGGGCCCTGCCTCTACAGAGTATTACAGGTGAGTCCCCAGGCATGGACACTCCCGTCCATGGATCTCACCGCCCACGGGCTGCAGTACGTACCTCCGCATCTCTAGCAGGCTGGTTGTGCCTGCATTTTGCATCCCCTGTGGCTTCCGTCTCACCCGCTAACACGCAGTACAAATAGCGCTAGCAATAGACTTCCCCGGCGCTGGAAGTTTACTCTGTTGGGGAAGTGTCACATGTCCCTGCCTAGATGTGGTACTCGAGTACCTGAAGTAGGTGCCTATTTATCTGGCCGTGTTAGCACCCTCACTCATTCGTCATAGTATCCCTTAATATTTTTGCTAGTAGATACAAGCCAGTGCGTCATGCAATACCCCCTCCCCGGAACGCTCAAAGTCACCCGGTGACGACAGAGTCCGTGACCGTCCCCGTTATCGCCCTCATCTCAACTCTCCCCTCTCCCAACTCTCTCCTCTCACCTGATCCTTTATCCTCTCCTACGTTCCGACGAGCCTATCACCCCCCTGCCACCTCCGTTACCCATTCGAACTCGAACTCTGTCCCTATGGTCCCAGCCGGAAACCACGGGAAACGGAGAACGACCTGCCTCTGACCTACCATGGTACACCTCTCGAGGCCCTCGGGCCGCCGATGCACATCTACCAGTCGAGTCACGGCCAACATCCTACTCTCTTGCCTAGCCATCTCCCCCGTAGCAGCTGCTCTGGCTCCTCAACGGGACCCTTCAGCTAACGACTTGCTTTCGGCGCCGGGGCCTATTCCTATTATCCCTTCAGATCCCAGCGTCATCACTCCGTCAGATCACATCTTCACCCTCCGACATGTTTATCACCACGGAACGAACCAACATCCCGGCCTTCACCGCACACGGGACGTCCTTCACACCACTTCAGGCATCCGACTAGCTGCTGAGGATGGCTTTGCCGCACAGGATATCGACATCCTCGCCGCAAAGAGTCGGGGCGACCCGATAGAGCGCCTGAGGGATCGGCGGCCCTCGGTTGTAGATCCGATGGTCGCCGAGGCCAGGCTCCGGGGTGGTGCGGCAGTGTTGGATGCCTCAGCCTGGACTACTGAAGAGGTGCCGTCACCCGACATCACAGATAAGGAGACCGTCTTGACCCTGGCGTACATGGCTGCCGATGCCTATGTGGCGGACAAGGACCAGAGCGACTGGGTAGATGTCGGCGACCATTACGACCCCACAGACGACTTTGGCTGGGAGAGTGACGGGCTGAGGGGCCACATCTTCATGGACGAGACCAACTCGACGCTCGTCGTCGGTCTCAAGGGTACTTCGATGGCTGTGTTTGACGGCGATGGCACCACGACCAACGACAAGGTAAACGATAACCTCTTCTTCAGCTGCTGCTGTGGTCAGCAGGGTCAGTGGACATGGCATCAGGTCTGTGACTGCGCAACGGGCACGTACTCGTGCAACAACACTTGCGTTGCCGGAGCACTGATGGAGGAGAATCGCTACTACGCCGCTGCCCGTGAGCTGTACTCAAACGTCACGGAGCGGTACCCCGACGCCAACATCTGGCTGACCGGGCACTCACTCGGCGGTGCCATCACATCATTCTTGGGCCTGACATACGGTCTTCCCGCCGTGACATTCGAAGCCGTCCCAGAGGCCCTCCCAGCGTCCCGCCTGGGTCTCCCTGTGCCACCCGGCGCTGACCCTCGTACGCCGCAGACGCGTCAGAACACCGGCGCCTACCATTTCGGCCACACAGCGGACCCCGTCTACATAGGAACATGCAACGGTGCCACTGCTTCCTGCTCGTTCGCCGGATACGCTATGGAGACGGCCTGTCACTCCGGTCAGGAGTGTGTCTACGATGTTGTTGCCGACAAGGGATGGCGCGTGGGCATCGGCTCTCACAGGATCCGCTCCGTCATCAGTGACGTCATCATGGAATATGACGACGTGCCGGAGTGCCATTTTACGCCTGAGTGCAGGGACTGCGCTCAATGGGATATGTACGAGTCTAACGGCACTCTGACGACGACGACATCGTCACCGCCCACTACCTCGCGTACCAGGACTCGGACGGCCACTTGCGAGACGCCCGGATGGTGGGGCTGCGACGATAAGACGACTACGACATCGGTGTCGACCATCCCGACGACGACGACTACGTCGACATCGACTTGTAAGACGCCCGGGTGGTTCGGGTGCAAGGACCCGACCACTACAACCACACCCACATCCACGAGCACCACGCCGAAGCCTACGTCAACCTGCGAGACACCAGGATGGTTTGGATGCAACGACCCGACCACGACGACTACGGCGCAGACTTACCCCACAACAACAACAGCATCAACAACTACTTGCAAGATTCCTGGATGGTTCGGCGGCTGCCGGGACAAGCCTGAAGCCACGTCGACTGCCGTCTCCACGCCCCCCATCACAGCCGGTCCTACATACACAGGGCCACAGCAGACGGAGACGCCGACGCAACCGCAAGGATGCCGCCATCGAAACTGGCTCGGAATATGTAAGGACAAATTGGAAGATGTGGAGAACGGCTCCCTCTTTGACGAGATATAGCGTTTCTCCATCTTGTTTGGCTGCTTGCTTTATCTATTAGCCTGAAGAGGTGTTCACGACTACTGGCATGCGTGGCCATTGACCATTGAATCATTGATTTGCATCGAAACTTGGGTTTTCCCTCCTTCTATCTTGGTTAAATGGGCATCATGACGAATACATGGGATGGGAGGTTGTGGCATCCCAGGTCGGTCCCGTGTACACGAGGAAACGAATGGTGTTCATAAGGACTACCAGACTTTCAGGGCGATATACATGCCCTCTCTTTTGTAGCCTAACTACATCTGTATATAAGCGAAGAATGAGTTAGATTTCAGAAAATTTGGATAATTTCCGGACAAGTAAAGCCTTGAATGCATTCTGTGCCGTGCGGCTTACGAGAATATGCCAGCCGGCATTAGACGTCATGCGGAGATGCGCGTGGGGCCTTTGAACTTTTTGGGAACCTCGATCGCGTGCCACTTCATTCCAACCCATTCAACATTCGTTACCCGACGACGACGCGCCAACCCCACCCCCCCTTTCGAAATCCCATAGGTTGAGGACGTGACCACAAGAGATCTCAGTTGAAATTCAGGAAGCGCCCTCGCGTTCGAAAAATCGGATAGCCCGCCATGTCGGCTGACGGCACAGACACACCCAAAGACACGGACGAAGGGGTGACGACGCCGGCCATCAACTCACGACAATCGAGCCCCAGTCTCAGCGACGCCTCGGACTCATCCAACAGCGACAGCGAACAGCCCCCAGCCAAGAAGATAGAATGGTTGGTCACGGGACGAGGCAAGCGGTCCACGGCGGGCAACCGGATGAAGTCGATGCTAGCCAACGAGGAGCCCGACTCAGATCTAGAGCTGCTCTTCGCCGAGGAAGACGACGACCAGGGGTTCACAGATGTAGGGGATGACGCGTCAGATGTGCACATGGACTCCTCATCCGACGACGAGGACGATGGCGCCGACGTCGGTGGCGACGAGGATCTCGAGGGAGAAAAGGAGCTGGAGCGCCAGGCCAAGGAGAAGAAGGCTGCCCAGAGGAAACGCAAAGCGCAGGATGCGATTCCTGCCAAATTCCGCAAGAAGAAGGTCCGGATTGCCCGTCCTGAATCTTCCGCCGCGACGACACCCACATCCGCGACGACACCAGTGCCCCCCGCCGGCACAGCAGCGCCAGCGCCACGGCTAAAGAAGAAGTCCGAGAGGGCCTCATGGCTCCCCACAGCAGCAGACATGCCCACGCGCGCCTCGTCACGGCAGACCACCCGCCTCTCAAAGGAGCAGCTTCACGCGCAGATGGAGGAGCGCGAGGCCCGTCGGCTCAAGCAGTTGGAGCACATGCAGCGCAAGGCGGAACGACGCGAGTCGCTCAAGAAGCCGCCCATGACGCAGGAAGACCGGCTGCGGGAGGCGCAGATAGTGGAGCACCGCAACAGCAAGAGCCTCAACCGATGGGAGGAGGCAGAGAAGCAGCGGGAGGAGGAGAGAAGGGCCAAGCTGGCGGCTCTGCAGGAGCGCACGCTCAAGGGTCCCGTGATTACGTTTTGGAGCGGCACCCGGGCGTGGAAGGACGGCGGGGTGGCCAAGTATGTTGTTGTCGAGGAGAAGCCGAAGCGCAAGGAGAAGAAACCGAAAAAGAGCAAGGGGGAGGATGGCAAGCCCGACGAGGCCAGGACGGATGAGGAACAGGCTACTGGCGACAGCGCAGGCAAAGAGAATGCTCCTACTTCTACTACTTCTACTACCACTATGGAGAAGCCTGCTGCTTCCGCCCCATCCGACCCAGCGACTGGTCGTGATCAGACTGCGCCGGCGCCTAGCGAAGCCCAAAAGAACGAAGCAGCAATAGGCTCTATACCCAAGGAACCAGCACCAGACGAAGCAGAGAAGGAAGAACCTGTCGAGCCAGAAGCAAATCCCCTCATGGCCATGCCCCCCATGCCACCTCCAACAACCGCACCGTCACATGGCAGAGAGATGGGTGGAGCTCAGCCAGCTCCCGAATCTGCCACTACAGCCCCCGCTCCGTCTGTGCTTGCGAGCCCGGAGGGTGTTGATACGAAACGGACTGGCTCGTCTGCGGATCTTCCCACTCCTGGACCCGATTCTTCTTCAGAAGGAGCTGCTGCAACTACGCTGCCATCCCAGGACGTTGCGAAAACAGAAACGACGTCTCAGAAGGAGGTCCAGTCAAGGTCGACGGTCGATGCCGAGGAGAAACCAGCGGACCAGTCGCAAATGGCGGAGGCTTCCAAGGAGCTGCAGTCAGAGTCAGCAACCCAGAAAGAGCAACCACCGCAGCCAGAATCCACAGCCGAAGACAAGGACAAGGAGCAAAGGCCACAAGAAGAATCTCCAGTCGACGAGAAGAGGTCCCAGCCAGAGTCAGCAACCACACAGGACCAGCCACAGCCCGAGACCGTCCAGGCTGACAAGCCCCGGCAAGAGGTCCGAGCCGAACAAGACGCAGCTGCCGAGGATGCCGAGCCGCGCACGACAGCTACGCGCCGCACAATCATTTACCAGAACTTCGATGAGAATGCCATCCGGGACAAGACGGTCCAGACGCAGATCCTGTTTGGCAGAAAGATGACGAAGCTATCCAGTAAGCCCCCCTCCACTCTCCGAGCATGCTCTGTATGTTGCACGCACGTGTACACGATGCTTTCCAAACAATCACGCTGACTCGCACACCCCCCTCCCCCCCCGGACAGAACCCCCCCACCCACCCGTCTGCGTAATAACGAACCTACCAGCCCGGTACCGTGACCCAAAGACCGGTCTACCCTTCCACAACGCCCTGGCCTACAAGGAGATCCGCCGCCTGACGGGCGGTGTCTACCGCTGGAGCCGCACCATTGGTGCCTGGGGCGGTAGCGCCGACGCAGCGGCCAAGGGCCACCCCCCGCGGTTCTTGGCCCCTGCGGATCCGGAAGAAGAGGGCAGGAAGAAGGTCAGGCAGCGGCAGGTTCAGCATGTCAAGGACGTCAAAGACAATGACAATCACAAGGACAAGGACCCTGTCGAGCATGAGGAAAAGGAGGGGCTGGACGGCAAGGACAAGGGTGAAAAGGCGGAGGAAGAAGACAAGGGCAAGTTACACACACAGATACGAGTACAGGAAGTTCGGAACGTGCCAGATGCCGACGAGATGCAAGTCGATCAACGCAGCAACACCTCGTCGGTATCGATGCCCAAAGTCAAGACTTGAATTTTTTTCTTCTTGATTCTTCCATCTTACGATTACCAGTAAATATACGTCACATACATTACGAGAGAACGACCTTGACCACTACTATATTATATATAATACAAAAGTATTTAACTAAACCCAACCCCCMAWCCCCCCCCCCCCCCCAAAAAAAAATTAATTTATTTTACATATTTAATAAAGACGAAAATAAAAGAAAATAAAAAATGTCTCAAAAGTTCACGCACACACCGCTGATGACTTGATTGCTCTGTTCAGTCATTACACGACTAGAGGTTGCTCGGATCAACGAGTTTGTCAAATGTTTCAAAATGGTGCTGTCAACTTGACTTGTCAATTCCCATTGATGTGTGGAGGGAGGCCTCGCCCCCCCCCATCACGTCACGGCTGTCAATTACAACTGTGCACAACCTCCGAAATTCACGGCGGTAGCAAAGCATCATGGGTACCCAGCACGGTCAGAGCGTCATGTCTCAGTCAAAATAAACGGTCAGAGTGTAGACTTCAAAAATGTAAAATGTACCAAGGCATAGTAATAATTCATCAACTCGCAACACATCTGGCCAAAGCCGCCTTTGTTCATGTGTCCGAATCTAAAAAGGGAGGGGGAACAAAGAACGAACAAGATTGAAAAAAAAAAAAAAATTTAAATAAAAAAAGCACCCTGAGACTAGAGAGACGTCTGCCCCAAGAGAAATATCAAAACTCCCCCCAAGACACAAATCCCAATCCGCTGAAATGGCAACATTATATACATGTTTTTGCTCTTCAAGATGGCCAGCTTTCTTGACAGAGATGCAGTAACAATCCAAAAATCAACTCGTGAGTTAGTAACTACTCGTAAATCAAATCCAACGCATCTAAACTGTGATGCATGTCATATACAGTACTTAGAAGAGGGAAGCAGAAAGGTCTGGATCAGTTGGCCTTTGCGGCAATAGTGTCAACCATCCAGCCCAGCTCATCGGCGAAATCGTCAACACCGGTAGCGTCGGGAGCAGGGAGGAACTGGGCCTCCCTGGCGGCCAGCAGCTGCGGCAGCGTCTGAGTGTAGTTGTTGTCGTCGTTGGAGATGCCAAACGTGGGACGGGGCCGCATGCCGGCAGCTCGGCGGGCGCGGATTCCCTCTTCGTCATCGTCATGCTGATACTGCTGCTTGCTGTATCCCGCGAAGCCCGTGAAGCGGGGCGTAGGGCAGGCAGAGTGCAGCAGCGTCGGATTGTGGGGGTCGAACAGGGCGGGCGAGTCTGGAGCAAGGAAGGCGTCCGAATTCTTGCGGGAGACGGTGGAGGCGTCGTCGAAAAAGGTAAGGGGCTCGCCACCGTCAACCTCGTCGTCCACGTCTGGGGTGGGGCTAGACAGAGGGGAAGCCATGGCGCTCGATGTAGCAGACTTGGTCGTCCGAGGAGCCGGTTCCAACACGGGCACGTTGGCCATGGCAATCTCCTCGGCCGTGTACAGGCCAGCCTGGGCCTGACGGTGGGCGTGGCGGTGGTCCTTGCTCGTGCGGGACTTGGAGGAGCGCTGCGACGACGTTTCCTGGACCAGGGAGCTCAGGTTCTTGGCCGTGAGCGGGGCGGTACCCGACAACGAGTGCGGTGCTCCAGGTGCCGACGGGGACGATGTCGACGGTGCTGGGCGCTGCATGCGGGGAGGCGCCGACAGTCCCGTGGTGTAAGGGTTGACCTCGGACACGGCCGACGTGGCAAAGTTGGAGTCATCCTCGGGCTCCTCGGCGATGTCATCGGGGATGACGAGCGTGGACTGCTCACCGCGGCTCGAGCCGCAGCGAGGCGGCTCGGGCATGTCGTCGGATAGGAAGCGGCGGAGAGATTCAGGAGACATGGAGCGGCTGCTGGCTCTTGATGAGGCGTCGCCGCGCATCGATTCCTCGTAGTCGGAGCCGCCGGCGTGCGAGGTGGGGGGCGTAGCCTTGGGGTCGTCGTGGCGATCGCGAGAACGCCCGCGCTCGCGGCTGTGGAACAGTCTCCTCCAAGCGGCAGGCACAGGAGACTGAGAGCGGCTGGAGGTGTGTCCTCGGAAGAGTCCCGGTGCCGAATGCTTGGGGCGGACACGGCTGTTCATCTCTTGCTCCAGCGGGTTGACTGGCTGGGGTGTCATGAACTTGGTCGAGGGATCGACCGACTTGTAGTCGGTGATGCGCATGGAGCTGAGAGATGCACTGCGTTGACGATGAGACTGCTGGTAGGGAATGGTCAAGATGTTGACTCTCTGACCGGGCAGGGAAGGACAGGCTGTAGTTGAAGGCATGGCGGGATCAAAAGTCTCTGTAGATGCGTCGACTTCGTACTGTGGTGGTGAGAAGGATGAAGAGTCAGTGATGAGTTGGGCTGGCAAGGGCTGGTAAATCGAGAGAGTTTGAAGGGAGACTGTTTTATCGGAGGAGATCAAGGGAGAAGAGAGGTCTGGGGAAATGGGTTTGTTTATACGGGTGATACGGCGCAGCGTGTGGTCCTCGTATTATACCAAACACTTGTACGGCGTAGTAGTAGTGGTAGTAGTAGCAGTGATACTACGACAGAGTATGGCACTACTCGTACTAGCAGTGCCCGCGCTCGTACTCGTGGAGAACAAGGCCGTGGAGAACAAAGGTGACAGGGGGGTTGTGTGTTGTCGGTGCAGGGAGGGTCTGAGGGACGCGAGAGAGCAGGGATGCCGGCTTACGTAGTAATAGTAGGTGTGGCCCATACTGAGACCGCCAGTACGTGTTTTCGACAAGTCGTCGTCGTTGCAGATGATATCTCGAAATATATGGCAACCTTTCCACTGACCCTTGGCTCTTCGAGTGTCGTGTTCCATGGGGTAGAAGGTGGTGAAGTTGTCCCAAGAGCCGATCAAGCTGACGGATTGTACCGAGGGCTGTGTCTGTCTATGATGCTGGGTTAGTACGGATTGCAACCGTAAGAAGAATACAGCGCGTAGAGGGCAGATGAGACTCGTGAGAGCGGCGAAGCCGGGCAGAGGATTGGTGACGCATAGTGCAATCTCATTGCCAACCATCTACGAGTAACCGTCCGTGAGGTGCAGGGGTATTGGGTAGCAAAGGGCAGATGGATCATGGATGGGGGGTGAGCAAGTCGGTAAGGCTCAACATATTACTCGTAATACTGGTATTATAGAGCAATAAACAGAAGGGACAGGGGGGGGCGGCGATAAAGGAACGTCTCTTTTTTTTTTTTTTTAGCAGCATGCGACGTGTACCATCTCTGCGAGCGCATGATCCATGGAAGAAAAAGAAGGATTCCACGGGCGGTAAAAACCTGAAACGAGGTCGTGTCGAGACGCGAGAGGGCCGACGGCACAGACTGCGAAGCAGTGTTGTGTATTATTAGGGAAGGGGGTGTGTGCATGGGGTGAGTTGGCAGCTGTTCTTCTCCAGGGCCGCGGTCTCGTGCCCTGGAAGTTGCTGGGAGACGGTGATCTTGAGTGGTGTCCTCCGTCCTCTCCGACTCGGTTCATGTACGAGCAGTCAGACCCCTGTACTGCCCGCCCATCTCACACGGCACTCGCCAACGGAGGGGGAGGGGGGACATTGAGGCGGTGCGAGATGCGAGTCTATGACAGGGCGGCCCGGGGTGCATTCTCAGACGCTGGTGCATATGCCTTGTGCACGTCTTGGTGCCGGCGTTGATGCAGGCCGTCGATGCAGGAACGCGTCCCATCCAAGCGGGCAGTCCGTGATGTAATGAGCGTGGTCTGCATTGTGCATTGTGACCCCACCGGGGTCGTGTAATGGGAGTCACAGAGTCGTTGACTGCCCGGTGCTGGCCCAGACGCGCTATGCCAGTAACCAGCATGCATCCCGAGATCATCAAGAAGCATAAACAATGCTGGAAATTGAACAACGCTCGGTGAAGTACAGCTGGCAGTAGGGCTGACCGAGTCTAAAGGCTCACAGGAGGCTGGTTTGCTGGGCCGCTGCTGGAGCCTGCCCCCCCCCCCCCCCCGACGGAGGCTGAATAGGGGAATGAGGGAATGAGATTGGTCTGTGCAGGGACAGAGCCATGACCAAATTACCCACGACGCCACTTGGCGCACATTTGAGGGCCGCAGTCAGAGGAAGGCTGCCAGAGTGTGAAGAGGGAAGGGAAAGGAGATGAGTGGGATGAGTCAACGGCTCTCTCACCGAGACCCCGGACCGAGGTGTAAAAGACGCCGACGATGGACACGAAAGAAGAGCTGATGGTACTCACAGTAGAAAGGTGATGAGTGTTGTCGCAGGATCCATGACGTGGAGCTGATGAGGGTGCGTGCAGCCCTCAATAAATAGTAGAATACCCGTATTCCCAGTTTCCGGAGGATGGCGTAAACTAGATCAAGACTTGTTCTTCTCTCTTGCCCTCTCCGGCTCTTCGACTCTTCAGACTGTCGATGGGATGGTAAGCGCCGTTGATGGCGGTTATCCGCAGACGGCCGTTGGTCCAAGACCACCCCCCCCCCCAAGGACGCTGAAACGAGGAACCCCGGCGTTGCAGGAATTATGGCGCCCGGGCAGGGTTGGATTGGATGAACCCGGGGGAGAAAAAAAAGAGAGAGAAAAAGGACGAGATTAAAGGCGACTGAGTCCGTCTGAATCCTGGCAGAATAGGGGAGAGTAGGAGGGCGCTTAGCAGTCGCGCGTCGTCGTCGCAGTCAGCGTACGAGTAGGTGATGCCGTGTGAGCGGGTGTCTCGGATGATGATGGCCGTATCTGCTGCAGTGTACTCTGCAGTACGATCTGGGTCGAGAGCTGACTGAATCGGTCTGGTTCGTCGAAGAATGGGGG